TGCTGTGTATTTTCCACATTTAAGGTGAGCGATAAACACATTTTATACAAACACATGATTCATTATTAATGAAAAATAAAGGATTTAAAAAAAAGAGAGCGAAAACACTGAGAATAGGTTTCCCCCTCTCCATATCTTCTTTCAAATACATCTTGAAAAATTGAATTAAAACGTAAATACTTGGCCGCCTCTGACAAAAAGCCTTTCTCCCGTGTCACTTTATTTGTCATTCATTTCTAAAGCCATATGTCAACAAGTTGTATGTTTTTGTTTTCATAAGTACTGAAGAATAAGTTGTACATGTATATGTCCAGCAAAAGAGTTTGTAAATTATCTGAATTCTCAAGTGGAATATGTAAGGGATAACGTATATTACGCAGGACGCGCAGCGGAGGGGTCCGCTTCCGCCCTGAAGGTACTTATTTTCCGATAATGACCTGCGTAATATACGTTATCCCGCTTATTATACGGCTTTATACCAACAGAACACACAACATAAACTTCAGTCCACTTTTATGAATGCCAAAAGGTTTATTTAATCACAGAAAATAAAATAGTTCCCAAGGGCTTTCCCGTGGCGATGCTAGTAACAGTTAGGCTGGGGCGGCACGGTGGCTGAGTGGATAGCACTCTCGCCTCTCAGCAAGAAGGTCCTGGGTTCGAATCCCGGTCGGACCAGGGCCTTTCTGAGTGGAGTTTGCATGTTCTCCCCGTATCTGCGTAGGTTTCCTCCGGGTACTCCGGTTTCCCCTACCACTAAAAAGATGTAAAATAGTTCTGGCATGCGCCTCCTGTACTGGCGACCCTGCTCCCAAAAAAATAACAATTGTAAACCGCTTTGAGACTCAGCTCTGCAGTGAAAAGGCGGTATATAAATAATTACTTACTTACTTACTTACAGTTAGGCTGGCAACTTCCAAACTAGAACTCTCTGGAACTGTATGAAAACTGAACAAAGAATTCTGAACATCAGCGGTGAGTGACCCAAACATAAACCTAACCTAAATCCATAATTCGATCCTCTGCAAATGTTCCTAAAATGTGCCGGTATCTACTTCCGGGTTTTTCGGGATCGCCTTTTCTCGCATTACATCAGTGTTTTTGTCATGAAAACGTAAACGGAAAATTCTGAAAACTTCCGTGCACTTGTATTAAGACTGGATATGTATAAATTACTCTCCGATTAACATTTCATTGCGTTGATTGATTGGCATTTGCGTTTATTGAGCGGCCGGAACTACTTCCGGGTTTTTCACGATCGCTTTTTGACGCAGAGAAATAGTATTTTTGTCATGAAGACAAGACCAGAAAATTCTGAAAATTTCCGTGCACGTGTGTGAAGAATGTGTATGTATAAGTATTCTCCGATTAACATTTAAGTGTGTTGATTGAGCGTCGCTAGCTCCGGAGTGGCCGGAACTACTTGCGAATTTATCCACGCATCTGAAATACAAGCAGAGAGTGCGTTGCCAAAGGGCAGCGGTCATTATTGTTTTGAGAGGTCCGTTATAAAAAATAATGACCGGTAGAACGTTTTGAAATTACATTCAAATCAATGGAGCGTTCTACTGCTGTGAGGAGCCGTATAAGAATAGCAATTACTAAACTCCTTTGCAAACATCACTAAACTACGGACAAGGTGCACACAACATAATGTCAAAGATTATGTTCAGTCTGGACTGTTTCAACATGTATTTCCTTTGAGTTTTTTGAGTTCCTTTTTGCAGAACCAAAAGAGTCACACCACGACTGACTTCAAACACTTGATTATCATTTTTTAATACATAAAAATATGGATTCTCCATGTGAACTTTAAACACATTACATCATTAACAGAAATTGTGAATTCAATCCCATTCGCAACAGTTATCTGAGAAATAGTAATTCCTTCAGGATGATTCTGATCCAACATGCAAACACAGGATGCGAGTATTTTTGTCATGTACAGTGTGTATCTTTAAAGCTGCATTACCTCACTTTTATTTTTGTTTTCATTACAAAAGAAAAAGTAGCGCAGGTTTAAGGTTTGTTAATTTTAGATCGAGTTTTTGTGAAACAAGGAAGAGAATGTGTTTCGGGACCAGATTGTGACCAATCACAGCGGACCACTGGCCCCCACTTTCTTTAGAAAAGCCACAGGTCTGTGGTTAGCACAGACAGCTGCGGTAAACAAGCGGCGGAGGCTAACCTGAAGCTTCCTCGTCTTCATCACCGGTTACTCAGCGAAACAGCCATTCAAAAGAAAGTCTCGTTCCTCCGCGCTTCCCGGTTCTATCATTCTATGGTCACGCCATCCACGTTCAAATGTGCGATCCATATTGTGAGACGTGCGCTCCCTAAACACATGGGCACAGGCAGAGTGGGGGGAATTGGGGGACGATGCAGAAGAGCAAGATTTTTTTTTTTTCACAAGATGAGTTAGGGCAGCTTTAAGTTGTTACATCATTATTGAATCAGGCAGAGAAGCCCACATCACCGAGGACCCTGATTGATCCAGAAAACCCCAGTAGAATCATGTGAGATTGTTCTTTTGAAATATGAACTAGTTTAAATTAAAAGAAATATACGACATGAATTGGCAATAAAAATGAATGATACAAAAATAATAATTATTTTTCGTATTAAGGGGATACATTTTAGGTCTTTTATTCAGTATTCCGGTTCATTTTCATAGTATTGCACCCAACACTGACACTACTGAGCATCTGGCCACAACACAACTGGGGGTGAATTGAATTTCTGGCTCATAATGGAACCTCTGACCTCCTCTTAACCAAAGCAGCAGAACCTCGGTCTTTGTCAAAGAGAATCACCGTCAACAACTGTCAGAGCCACAACCAGCAGCGAGTGATTTATGAGTTTACAAGAGCAGCGCCGACACTTCCCTCACATCTGCAACTCTCGCTAAAGGCTTTTAAAGTAGCAATATGTAAAATGTTTATGTCAAGTCATCATTAAAGAGCCTGAATCTGTCAAAAAGCATTAACAAATCATGCTCTTTTCCAATACTTCTGTAACTGATAACAGTAGTTCAGAGATATTTGGAATTCAAAATTAGTTTTACAGCCTCTAAATCTTGTTATTGTTGTCATTTCGATGTCCCGCCCTGCACCGTTTTTGCCAGAACTCACTGCGTCGAGCTAAAGACCGGTAAAGAAACATGTGGCTGCAGAACTAAAACAGGTCTTGTTATGATTCTCAAATTATTTACGACAAAACAAGAATAAAAAAAAAAGGATTACTATCTTTGTGAAAAAGGTGTTTGTTATAGATTTGCTGTTAAAAAAACTCTGGTCTATTCAGATATGATTTTTATTATGGTCCCAGCTGTTTTCGTCTGCATATCTGGCAACCTGAGTCAGGGTTGCCATACATACTGCTCCTTTAAATACAGAATAGTGAATATCCGTCTGCAGCCCTGTGTCTAATCTCACCCAGAGACATGTTTTTTCTCTGTAGCTCGTTGCTTGTTTCAGAGGTTTGGAAGCGGCGGCTGTAGATGCACGCTTTATTTAAATGTGAGAATGAACGAATGCTTCTGCAGATAACAGGATGCATATTTCAGTTCATGAATAAAACATACCACAGTATAGTTATTATTATGAATATGCTGGTTTTTTTCCCCCCACACAAACAGTCTAAATGTGCAAAAGCAAGACAAATGCAGCCAACACAGAAACAGCAACACAGTCTATTATGATAATGAACATCTTGCATTATTTATCTGTCTCACTACTTTTCTGTGGTAAAAGTGCATGTGCAAAGAAGCTGTTTTATTCCAGCAAGTTCATGGACGGAATAAAAATAACGTTTACAGAGAGGAGTGGAGATTACATGTTCTTCCCGTGTATCTGCGTAGGTTTCTTCCAGGTGCTACGGTTTCCCCTATACCACTAAACACATGTACAATAGGTCTGAATGTAGCCTGGCCTTATCCATCCGTACACTCCCGTCAATCATTTCCTGCATGTAACGTCTGGGTCTGGTCCCTGTGTTTGCGATTACATCGGTTGAATCCCATCCGACCAATCAGAGAGCGCGGGAGGCGGGTGTTGTGGTTAGATGTGGGTGACGTCAAGAGTTTGCGCCGGACGGGAAAGTCGTAATTTGGCAATGGCGAAGAATGCGATACTAAAGTATTCCTTTCCGGTTCTATCAAGAAATTTAAGCCAGAGCAAGAGGAATGTTTAGCAAATGTAATGGCTGCAAAGATTGTGGCGTTACTCCCCACGAGTTCGGCGTCTCGCTTCCGTCATCTCTGTGTGGTAATGGAGAAATATCTGGTTTCTGAACATTGTAAAGGGCCTCAGATGAGCTTGGTCTGTGAAATGCGCTGTATAAATAGATATGACTTACTTTCTTTCAACATCACATGTTCATGTTTCTCGTAAATAAGAGGAAAGTGGACGTTGGTTCTGTGCAGCTGTGAATAAAAGGTTCCTATAGAAAAAAACAAAAAAAATCTTGCTTAGCTGTAGCTTAATGTATCATGGGTTATAAACAAAATACATGCTTTTATCTCCAAAAATAACAAAGTATTATTGAAATTCTCATTTTCATTTTTAAACTTTCTTTTTTCTTTTTATTGGATATAATTATTATGTGTATGTAATCTTTTCCTTTGCATTATAGTTGTTGCCTTGTTATGTTTTTGAATAATGACATTCTGACCAATTGCATTCTACAGGCAATAACTCAAAAATAAAGTATATCAAAAAAAAGAAAAGAAAAAAAATAAGAAAATCAGGCAATGACAGCGTGGGGAGAAAAGACAAAGAAATGCATTTAATCCTGGATCAATGAACAACGTGAGGAGTATAGGTTAAGTATTGGTTAATTTTGGCCGTTTTTATATACAGTGCATATGTGTCTTTCCGTGGGCATTTGTTGACTACAAATTTTTTTCATCTGCTTTAAGTTTGTATAGAATCAACGATCATCTGTAAAAAAAAAAAAAGAAGTGTGTATTGATAAAGTATGTGTGTGTGTGTGTTGCAGCCATGTTCACCGAGGTTCCCCACGACATGACGGCACAGCGGGGGCAGGATGTGGAGATGGCGTGCTCCTTCAGGGGCGCTGGGATGCCCTCCTACTCCCTGGAGATCCAGTGGTGGTACATCCGCAACCACATGGACTGGACCGAGCGGCAGCCCTGGACCACCAACGAGGTCTGACTCTTCACTGTGTACAGTAGCAGAGGTTTTAGTCATGTTTTAGAATTCTATTTCAGTTGGAGGCAGAAGCCAAAACAGTTCTATGGGAAAGAAGGCAATTTTCAATCGATCAATGTTTTTTATAGAACCCTCTACAACACTTGAGGCGACCAGAGCTTTACAATAAAATCACATAAAATCCAGTACGTCTATTTTGATAGAATTTCCAAACCTGCCGTAGCATCACATCATATACAGTATAACTATCAATCAATCAATCATTTATCTGTAGCACAATTTGTGTACAAGGCAATTCAAAGTGCTTCACAAGAGACAATTAAAAACGCAGATCAAACTGCATTAAAAAGTCAATAAATATACAATTATTTAATATTAAAATAGAGCAGGATAAAAGTATGAGGTTAAAACACATTCAAAAGTGGGTTTAAAAAGGGCGATAAAAGTAATAAGTAGTACAAAGTAGAATCAGTCAGTTGCACCGCTAAAAAGATATATTTTCAGCTTAGTTTTGAAGGTGGTCAGAGAAGAGGCCTGTCTCACAACCCCAGGAAGGCCGTTCCATATTCTAGCTGCATAAATCTGAAACGCGCCTCCCCATGTTTCGTCCTGACTCTGGGCACCAGCAGGGGCCAGTCCCTGTGCTTCTCAGAGTCCGAACAGTTTCAGGAGGCACTTGCATGTCTCGGATGTACCCCGGTGCAAGGCCATGGAGAGACTTGAACACAAGCAGAGCTGCTCTGAAGTCTATTCTCTGAGCCTCTGGAAGCCAGTGCAGAGACCTGAGGACTGGACTAATGTGGTCGTACTCCCTGGTTTTGGTCAGGACTCGAGCTGCTGCTGTTTTATTGCTTCTTTGGAGAGACCAGTTACGGTAGTCTAGACTACTGGAGAAAAATGCATGTATAAGGATCTCTTGGTCTGCTTTAGACCCCATATGCACGATAACATCATGCACATTGTGAGATCAAAATAAATAATCTTGTCTTATTAGTTTTCTAGTTTTTAGTCCATGTGGCTTGATCCTGTAAGTACAGAGAAAGACTGTTCCATCACAGTAACTATGGTAGCAATGGAGTGCTGTGATGTCACATGAACACAACCTCATCAGGCTAATGTCGTATATTAGTCTTTGTATTTTCTTGATCTGCCAGGGACTACAGATGGAAAGTAGCCATTGGCTAATTCTGGCATATTTACATTTACATGTTCATTAATATGCATTGTCCCTTTAAATAAATAAATAAATAATCATATACATTATAATCTCACATCATTATGTCATTGAGTGCATCTGACATCAGCTGAAACACTTGGAAAAAAGGCAGTCAACTTTGGGTAATTAGTGAAATGATTTCATATTTGAATGATCTCAGCTTTCATATCTGGAGACTGCGACTGCAACTAATTATTTTTGCTTAATTGGACCCAGATAAAACTGAAGTGAAGCCACTGGAGGACATGAAGAGTACAGGGGTATACAAAAAACTGTTTCCAGATTACTCTTGCTACTACTACTACTACTACTATACTTCACATAATTACTGTAGTGGCTACCTATTGCCCAAAGCAGTGGGAACTGTGTCCAGCAACATTGTGTGTTGTGCAATAGTAAACCACAGGGAAAGGACTTATGAAAGGATATGAAACGGACATATGTTACCCTGGGTATTGATTGTAAAGTGAAACCAGCCAAAATATCCGTCCACAAAAATCTCTGCTTCTCCACCAGCCAAGCACACTCTCATCCATACAGAGCCCAAATGTGTCTCATGTTATCATTCTGCTTCTGTCATGGCCAACGTTTGAACTTGCGTGTAAGAAAGATTCGATTAGACAATTATTTGGCAGTACAGTATGATAGTTTTATAGATCAATATGAGACAGAAAATAATTGATTGATGTAACTTATTAATTTAACTTTTTTTATCCTAATGCTTGGTCATTAATTAAGTATGTATAATGAAGATGGAATGATTGGAAACTAGGCACTTCTCACGTACTTGGAAAAAATATAAAAAAATACTGGATGACGAATTGTCTGAACATTTGAATTAGCAAATTGTTATTCCAACTCTTTTTTTCTTCTGTATTTCCAGGTGTCCCCAGATGAGGAGATGCCAAAGGATTCGACAAAGATAAGTGTGAGTTAAGAAGAACTCATTACACACACACAAAAACACACACTCCCAGCAGCAGAGGGATTGGACTGGCCGAGTGCTGACGTCACCCATAGTGTTGCTCTGATGGAGAAGGAGCCGTTTGGAGCGAGCTTTAAACCCCAATTTGAGCAGGAACCTGGAGCCAAACAGAAACACATTTCTGAATTGAGTAACGCTCAAGCAACAAGAGCCAGAAAATAGCAGGACTTTCTATTTCCGGGTGGATCATCAAGACTTGTGGACCCTCCTATTGTGCACCCTCAAGTAGCTCAGTTAGTTATGCATTGGCCTTTGAGCCAGAGGGTCCTGGGTTCGAGCCCGAACTTCACCATTGACTCCCACTGATGTCGTTGTGTCCTTGGCAAGACACTTAACCTGGGAACACCAGCCACAGTGGGGCGGCTGCGGCTGTAAAGTGCCAAACTGCCCTTCCCTTGGGCAAGACACTTCACCCCCATTGCCTAGAATGAGTCTGGTGTGTGTGTGAATGGTTGGTGGTGGTCGGAGGTCTTTTCCGTAACTTAAACACACATTTTCATCACTTGTGTTTTGTCGTCCAGTACTTTACTTATGTATGGGATACACGCCTCACTCATGGTGCACATTGACTTGATTCCCCATGAGCCTTTGTGCTTGCAGCGTCTGACTTGCGGCATTAACCAGAACAATATGGAGCATCATTGGCAGTAGTATTATTTGTTCTTCTAACTGAGCTGTGTTGTGTTGTTTTCATTCAGCTGTGATTTGCACTGATAGACAATCATTCATGCATTCAATTATTCAACAATAATTACAGTAGCTTCATTAAATTTACATTTCAAGTGTAATATTGCGCAACATTTTGATTAAATGTCCAAACAAATGTCCAATGTTTTTCAACCAGTGCGTTGTGGCACGTCAGTGAGCCTTGCGACTTGTATTAGTGTGCCTTGGAAATGATCCAAAACCAGCTGCTGGGTCAAACTCATGTGAAAAAAATGAATAATGTGAGATGATTAGTAAGATTTTTTTATGCTTGTTTGATTTTCTGTACAACCACATCGATGAGAATGACTTTGCTTTGTTAATAACAGCTGTAGAGTTTCAATTGTGTATCAGATTTAGTTGGTGGTTTGCCGTATGACTTTTTGCAATGAAAAAGGTTGGGGGACACTGCATTAGACCAAATGAATAATTCGCCATTTTATGAATTTTTACCAACTATCGAGAGGGCTATGCCAAAGAATGACTATATTTAACCCACCTGAGCCTATGTACTGTATATAATAGTCTAAACACTATAGATTTTTTATATTGAATACTTTATTTTGAGCCAAACAAAACAAAATTTTAACATTCTGCACGAAACAGAAATCACTGTACCCACACAAGAAATCACTGTACCCACACAAGAAATCACTGTACCCACACAAGAAATCACTGTACCCACACAAGAAATGTAGATATTTAGAAATCGCACATATGTAGAGGTGCCAGATCCAACTTCGGAGGTGTTTTGGCTCAAATTAGGCCCAAAGTGAAGCAGTGGTTGAGTGCTTCGTGCTGGTTGGTGAGTAAGCGTACTCTGGTGCACAAAGCATCTGCCCCATCCTTCCTCCCTCATCTCTCCTACAGTACGTCTCTCCATCTTTAATCAATACCAGCACAAGATGTTCAGTACGACCGTTTTATTAATGAAAAATAGGATAATTGTCGAGCGAAATGTGGGAGTGATGTAAAAGCTTCAGTCCTTTTTTTTTCTTACTGATCACAGACTTTACTATTATTACACTATGATTATACTTTGAGAAGCATGGGGGGGTTATTGGGTAACATGTACGGAGAATACGTGTTTGTTATGCTATTTTTGAATAACTGTAATTGGAATACGCTACTTATTTGTTGTATTCAGATAACAGTTGTGAAATAGCCCGCAACCCTGTCCAATCATCAGGAGGCAGCAATGGCTGTGGGAGAATATAAATTACACAAAGCAACATGAATCAACCTAAAACACCTGTGGAATTGACATGGAAACACATAAAACAAACACATACATGAATAACAGAGCTTATTTTGAGTATGACGTTAAGAATAAGAAATAAGGAAACGAAAATCTCATTTAAATGTAAGCTCAAAGTGAATGATCCGTCCATTCTCACTCTGACTGATTTGACTGACTTACTGATTGAATGGAATAGATAGAAATCCTGGAAACACAGATATAGCCCCTTGCCATTGGCCCAAACCACATCGTATTAATGGTGGAAATGCCGAGGAGAGAGAGTGTGTCAAATATATTGTTTTTGAAAAGTGCTGTTTGTATGGTCATAGGGTCAATAGTCAAAATATGATATACGATTGAAGTAAGAAGGTCCTCCACAGCCATGAGTAAATAAAGGTTTTTTAAAAAATGTCTAAACCGCTGGCCACGAGTGCCTTGGAATTTTTTTTTATTTTCTAAGCTATTCACCATTTGATTTTTACCTGGAAAGTCAAAACAACATTTTTGTGGCTACACGTCAAAATGTCAAAAGTGAGGCTTACTTGAACAAAGACAGTTCAATTCAAAGAAAAACCTTAGTGATATCGCCAAGCTTTAAATAAACTAACAATAAATGAGTAATATCCACTTACTGGGAAAAATCTATTTAGAATAACTTTGATATCTGAAGTACGATTGAAGTTAGGGTTTACAGTCTAAGTTAAACCCATCTTCCAATTGAGCACCTGGTCTTTTAAATAATTCTACACACTTGTACCACGCAGCACTCCTTACCCTTTGCTTTTTAAGAAGGTCTTGGGTTCGAATCCCGGTCGGAACAGGGCTTTTCTGAGTGGAGTTTGCATGTTCTCCCCGTGTCTGCGTAGGTTTCCTCCGGGTGCTCCGGTTTCCCCTACCACTAAAAACATGCACAATAGGTATGAATGTGAATGAGAGAGTGAATGGATGGTGTTGGAGCTGATGGTCCAGTGTGTTCTGGACTCGCTTCTGTCATCACCGTGTGTGGAAGGATTGGAACAATATCTGACTCTGAACATTGTAAAGTGCTTTGGGTGATCTTGGTCTGTAAAATGCGCAGATCCTTTATTCGTCCCACAGTGGGTACATTTCAGTGTTGCATCACAAGTTCTAGAACAGTAGGAAAGAGGAGCACACAGCACAAGATAAGTGAATAGCTATACTAATTAAAATAAAATAAAAACTGTAATTTTAGCATCAATAATAAACATTACTTACTACTTACTTACTTACATTGGTTTTTGTATTTATCAAAGGTATTTTCAAGCATTTTCTACTTCCGGGAAGATAATCGAGACTATTGTTCCTCCCAATCGTCAATCATTCTGGTAAAAATAAGAGTAGTTAAAGAAGTGGATAGGGCGGTTGTTTCCTAAAATTTGTTTTATATGTTTTTATTGTTTCAGCTAAGGATACGTTTATTTGAATGTATTATTTGCCTTTCTACTTGTTTGTGCTGCACTTTGAAACGTGATATGGAAAAAAGGAAAAATTTATTTAAATGTGCTATATAAAAAAGTGGATTGGATTGGATTAAAATTTGGGAAAATCCTCCTATACACCTTTGGGTTCAGGGCACCTAGCTTTTCCCCATAAATAATTGGTCATGTTACTTAGTCCCAACAGAATCCGTCTTGTAATAGTAAAAATATTGTGACCAATCAGACCACAACATCCTCCAGAATTTTTAGATCGTTATTTTTTGCATACTTGTCAGAAGGAGCTTTGTGAGTCACAATTTCACACTGATACTGAGAGCTAATTGTCTGAGAGGGGGTGGTCTCTTCTCACTTTTTCTGTCTGTCGTGAAAAAATGTATTCATGCTAGTGACAGAACCAAACTATTTAGACACTACATCATTGTCACCTAGCTACTACCCCCCAGCTTGGAATCACATCAGCTAAAACGTATTCAAATCAAAGTTAACATTTGTCCAAGAGTTGTGTCAAGAATCACTTTCCATAGTCAAGGGTCGACTTGTAATCATGGGGATAATGAGGCTTTTAAAACACCCACCCACCTGTGCTATTCTGGCCCTGGATGTGGCGGCAGAGTCTGTGCGCTGCTGATGGGAGCCCACTGTGCAGAGACTGATGAGAAAGAGGATGAGATAAGATGTGACGCAGCAGATATAAATACTGATTCATTTATCAGCCACCACTGAGACGAGCCCATATGTCAGCTCCACAAAACACTGCTGACATTAAGGGCTTCTGTAAGAGTTCCCAAAGAGCAGCAGTGGATTAGTCTGTGTCCGTATATTCCACATGATTAACTCACAAAATGTTTATCAACATTTGGGAATTTCTCCTATGGGGAAATCCATAAAGTATCTATCAATTTATCTATCTATGTATCTACAGTATCTACAGTATATATGATTGTTATTGAAGGTAAGGTCCTGTGTAGGTCTTGCATTTGATCATTTTGATAATCTTAAAAGCCGATTCGGATCTAGTGGCACTTGGAAGGTAGAATATACAGTCTCCACTGTAATTCGATTCTTTACAAAAAAGAAAACAAAACAATATTATTATTATTTTTTAAATACTGATAATTTTAAGTTGTATGTACTGCTTTACACGTCGAGAGGAACCAGTTGAGGTGGCTCGGGCATCTGTTCTGGAAGCCCCCTGGACCTCTCCCTGGGGAGGTGTTGCGGGCACGTCCCACAGAGAGGAGACCCCGGGGTAGACCCAGGACATGCTGGAGGGACTATGTCTCTCAGCTGGCCTGAGAACGTCTTGGGATCCCCCCAGACGAGCTGGAGGAAGTGTGTGGATAGGGAAGTCTGGGCGTCTCTGATTAGACTGCTGCCCCCGCGACCCGGCAACGGACGAAGCGGAGGAAAATGGATGGATGTACTGCTTACATTGTCGGATTTCAGGATTCAGCAGTTTAAATGCAAAACGCCGACTCCCCATGTTTAGTCCTGACTCCTGTGCCAGGTCCCAGGTGGTTCTTGGTGTGAAATTTAAGCTCTAAAAAAAAAAAAACTTGTAGACACAGATGGTCAAATAGGAATCCGATTTGATTAAAAGTATTGTGTATAAACCATCAGAAATATCACCCTGAAATCTATGTCAGGAGGAAAAACATGTGGTTCAAAGTGGACTTTTAGGAGCACTTCTTCCACATTTACTGCTGTGATGAGATCCACATTTTAAACCATGTGCACAGCAGAGAGGGCTACAGATTGCGAAACAAATGCTTTAAGGCATTTGTTTCATGTCAAATCAATCCATACTTTCAGCCTAATACTCTGATGGCACGTCGTTCAAAAGGACCCAACTATTCTGAAAAGGCGCCCTTAAGAACCCCCTTGCTTTAAAGTCACCAGCCCACACACATTTCTAATTCTGCCTAAGCAAAGTGTAAACACATTACGGTAATTATACGCGTCCCGGGGGTCGTTTGGAGGTGTGTTGGTGTCTGTAGAAAAGGTTAGTGTCTCTGGTTAGCTCAGAGCCGTTAAGAGGCTTATCACCTCCCACTCCTCTACAGCTTAACCCCCGAGAAGCAGAGTGGAGCCGTCTCATTTATGGATCAGAAATACTGTAAATATAATCCACACAGGCTCAGGAGAGGTTCAGAGGAGGAGGATTTTCAGATGGCATGCAAAGCTTAAAGGGGAACTAACAAGCGATACTGACTTTTCAAAGATTTTCTGCGGTAAATGTGTTGTTTTTACAGTTTTTTTTGCGTATGTTTGAGTAGTACATTTGTAGAAACCATTTCCTCTTTCTGCCTCCTCTCACCAACGCAATATGCACACTGTTTCTACCAGATAAGAAAATGTTTCACAGCAGACTTGCACGGCCCTTTTTTCCCCCCAAAGACAATCAAATCCGCTAACTTGATCTGTCGTCTGAGTTGAGCCTCTGATTCCGCTGACTATAGGAAGCAGACAAGAAGGATATGGCAGAACTGAGAAGGGAAGGGCACAGATTCATTTCTTTAACGGCATCGTTTTAGATCAATATTGAGATTTCAACGACAGTAATAATGAACAAAGGGCAGAATAGATTCTCATTGTATAGCAGGCAGAAGCTTGTAATGTCCTCCTTCAAGGCTTCTTGTCATTTTGTCTGGTAATTATTGCTTCAGCTTATTTTGAAGACCAGTTTTCCATCCAAAAAAAAAAAACCAAAAAAAAAAAACACCTCAATTTCCCTCATTCTGAAACCGATTTTCTATAACAGCAACGGGGGAAATGGGAATGGTCAGAATGATGAATGCCATTTTTATATTCCGAAGTATATAAACCATCCATTGCTCTAAAAAATATATCAAAAGGAAAAAAACCAAATGGCTCAGACTGGAGCCCATCTTCTCGCTCATTTCCAGTAGTATTAAGATTACAAACGAGATTAGGTCACGAATCAATATAATGCTTTGGTCGACAGGGCGGCACATTGGCCAGCATTCTCGCCTCTCAGCAAAGATCCTGGGTTGGAATCCCGGTTGGAACAAGGTCTTTCTGAGTGGAGTTTGCATGATCTCCCTGTGCTTGCGTAGGTTTCCTCCGGGTACTCCGGTATCCCCTACCACTAAAAACATGCACACTAAGTTAAATCCTCCAGCTCCGGTAGTCCTGACCAAGCCGAGCATCAACATCTGGAGATGGGTTCCCCGGCGCTGTTACTACGGCAACCACTGCTCCTGACGTAAGCCTTAGTGGCATCAGGATGGGTCAAATGCAGAGGATTGAATTGCCCTACGGGGATCAACAAAGTGCACCTTTACCTTTACCTTTGGTCTCCGACTCTTAAAGGGGACTTCACATGCAAAATCAGCTTTAGATCATTTGAACAATTTCCTCTTCATCTATCAAAGAGAAGGGCCACAATGTATAGCACTTTTTCTACTCCTTTATTAGACTTAAACTTCATTTCTGAGTTAGTTGGGGGGGAGGCAAGTGTCGGAGTTAAGTGTCTTGGCCAAGGACACAACGACAGTAGACAACATTGGTGGATCTTGATCTTATTGCTGTGGTGCAAAGCATTGTTACAGTCCTAATGCATAGTAATAACACAAACACAAAGCTTGTCGGGTTTGCCTACATCAGTTTGGAGGGGTAAACTAATCTGGTGTATTTACATTAACACTTTATCTCTGTTTCAGGTGGTAAAAGTGGTCGGCAGCAACATCTCCCACAAACTGCGCCTGTCCCGAGTCAAGCAGTCAGACGAGGGGACGTACGAATGCCGCGTGATCGACTTCAGCGACGTGGGAGGGGCCCGCCACCACCGCGTGCGCGCCCACCTGCAGGTCGTCCCGGAGAGCGAGGCCAGCAGCGACAGCACTCACGACGACCGCCAGAACAACTTCGAAGCCGCAGACGACACCAAGAAGGCCATCACCAAGGGGGCGGAGCATCACGGCAAAGACCACGCCCACCACATGAATCACAGCAAGCGGCCGAGTGACAGCCTCGCCCCTCACCACGGCCACTCCCACAGCGCGCAGCAGCACAAGGCCAAAGAGCAGAAGAGGAGGGACAGTGGCAGCGACTGCGCAGACGAGGCGAGCTGCGCAGTCTAGACGCCTGCGGCCCGCTTACCCCGCTGCACTGATGCATTATTACACAAGGATTGCATAACGTGAAGCCAATCGAGTGCGTAAAAAGCTCCTCTTTTCCCCCCGCGCTGGTCCGTGCCGAGCAGTGGAGGTGGAAGAAAGCAGCTTTTTCTCGTCCAGGTTTCCGGTCGCAGCTGCCCCACTCTCTGTCAGGCCTCGCTTCACGACAAAACACAGGCTGGGTGTAGATATGAAGCAGCTTCACCGTTCAACAAAGACTATGATTACCCACAATGCTCTGCCCTGCGCTTGTACTTCACAGTGTGTAAATGATAGCTCTTTCAGACTCATTCTGCTTTCACTGCCTTACTCTGTCATCCAGCCCACTCTGTGTGTGTGACAGCTCTTTGTCAGCGTTTCACCCTTAAGTGAATTCTTATTGTCTATTTCTTATGCCCATTTCAAACTATCAACTCTTCATTTATTTGGCAACCCCAGGTTTAATTAAAACTGTTTCTAGAAGTTCTTGGACAAAGATCAGATCAATAAAAAGTTCACACCAATGACCTACTAAATGTCTGTAATGGACTTTGATATGGCCGAATAAATTGTTTTCAACTAACCCCTTACTTTGAAGTAGGGCTGGGCAATAAATAGAATTTAGGCAATTAATCGGCTTTTGAAAAAATCTAATTTGTGAAAAATTTGAATATCGTGACATCGAATTAAGGATATTGTGAGAGTTACAGCACCACATGAATTATACTTGCAATATCAGCACAGTCTGTACAAGACTTTTATAACACGTATTTGGCAAAACAAATGAATATACTTGAATATTAAGCGGAAAGATCGAAACAAATTTTTAAGGGCAAAGTCTGTCTTCAGTGACTTTAATGAAAATCAATTTCAAATTGAAATCGTCCAAAGCAGGAAATAAAATCGAGATTTTACTTTTTTTGCCATATCGCCCAGCCCTACTTTGAAGCTGAGGTACCTAACTTTTTTGTTTCATAAATCATACAAAAAGATTCTCACAAAAGTGCATCTTTGTGAACAAATCAGACCACATCAGCCTGTCATCATTTTATTAGAAAACATTTTTGCATACTTGAGCCTATTTGATGCTTTGGGCTGAAAAATCTGAAAATTAGATAGAACCCAACTGTAATTATAGACAGGAACTAGTTAGATGGATCTCAATACATAGTTATATATCTTTTGGTTTGAAAGTTACCCCACCTGTAACAAATATGTTGAAGGATTACTACTTCAATCATGAGCCAATATATCAAAAACAAAACAATAAATTCAAGACGTTCGGAAGTAAACATGAATGGTGTGAGATAGAGCTATGCACACTTCCAACCGTTCCATTCACTTCTGGTGCGTATGCTACCACCCACAAAATTAAGTTTATCACTGATAATGCTGTTTCAACTACAGTTGAACCTGATGAAATCTCACACAACAAAGAGACAAAGTTAATCTTTTACTTGTTACATTGTACAAGGAGAATGTCTTGACAGAGGCAAGGCACAGACCCCAGCCTCTCTCAGGACAAGTCTGATGATTCACAGATGGCAAGCCCCTTTTGGTTGAACAAGACACACCTTCGTATGCAGATGGGAAAGGAAGAACCCACACAACAAAAGACACTCTGTATTAGCGTAAACAAAGAATGCTGTGTTTAACATATGAGCTCCCCAGACCTCGTGGAGTTTTGCTGGAACTGAAGTGAATTACAGAATAGCGCATTCAGCATATAGCCACATATGATTTACCAAAATGATAACTTAAATTACATTCCAATATCATATTCCCTCCTTTTTATCCTTTTGATAAATCAAACAATCTATGTTTAAACATGGAGAACATGGAGAACTGAAAATGAAAAAACACACATCCAAACTGAAAAAGAAAAAATGTCATAGTATAATTTCACATTGTTGTTCCATAAACTATTCCCCCTGTTGAGACATAACATGGCTCAAAACTGAACAATGTATTAACTCTGAAATGTATTAACTTTAAATGTATTAACTTTGGTTATCAAATTCAACACCACGCACACGCCCAAAAGCCCGAAAACCCAAAGTCCATTTTCACAGTCCATAGTCAGTCCATTTGACACGTCCTCTCGACCCTTCCTCATGTTTGGTTATGACCAGAAATGTCCACTCTGTTCCTGTTTCGAAACTCTTCTCTGTCTGCGTTTCCGACGCAAGACTAGCAGCAAGCCGTTCTCCAACAGCGACACAAAGCTGAACTTTCAAGTCGCAAATGTACCAAGATGTCACCTTCAATTCTCACGTCCATTTAACTTGAACAAACGGCCAGCAACCTCCGTGGGCCTGCGCGCTTTGATCTTTGCAAATCGGCCCGTGATTATTCGTCAGCAGCTTCCGGTGCGGGGGGGGGGCTGGGGGGGGGGGGGTTTGTGTGGAGGGTCGTTTCGTAGGTGTCGATGGCTGCATGGAGATGGCGATGGGGGTGGGATTTCTGTCCCACAATGGAAATAGGTGGATTTTGTTGCTTTGAAGCTTTGGCAGGGATGTGGTATTTTTCTCAAAAACAAGAAGCACATTTGTTAAGACATTTCAGAATCAAAACATAAGGTGAAGGGTAATTCTAAACCAAGAAAACTTTGACAAAGGAAAACGAAGAGGACTCACAGAACAAAGAAGGACACAGACAAACAAAGAAACACATGGCCAGAGGACAAAGGACCACATGGCCACCCAAAATGGCCGCCCTACACAATGCTTGCAATTTAACTTTTTTTTTTTTTAGGTGTGTTTACAATGTCCAATTCCAAATTTTGAGTAATTTAAAGGTCTTTAAACATCCATCTTCAATTTAGTGTATTGAGATATCTTTAAATGTCCAATTTCAGTTTAGAAGTGATGTAGAAGTTCAGTCCGAAGTAATTAAATTCTAACACATTCATTATACAGGCGTAACTCTGCGTTCTTTAATTCAAAATGAACCCCGTTCACTTGTAACTGCAGTAAAAAGTAGTCCCCGACTTACTCTTAATAATAACCCCGTTATTATACAGTCTATGATAGTCCCCGACTATCTAAAGATAAACCCCGTTATCCCGGCCTCGACTGTCTGCAATATAGTCCCCGACTATTTAAAAAGGATAATCCCCGTTATCCCAGGCCTTTTTTAATTTGAATCCCCGACTCAAAAAGTAAAATACCCTTTTGAATGAAACCCCGTTCATTCGAGCTCTGTAAAAGTCCTTGATTAAAGGCATAACTCTGCGTTATCCTAAATGAACGTGTTCATGTGAACTTCACACTACTTCCTGGATTACTTTTGGACATAATTTAGTGTTTAGAACTTGCCTTTGTTGCAATTTCATCAGGAAAAAACTGTAGTTCTCCCGTCGACTCCAACCCAGGGCTGTCCTGCCTCAAACCTGGAGTTCCAATGCAGTTCCGAATGCAGAAGGCCCTGTAGTTGCTCCTGGAAGTCCATGTTTGAGACAAGCTCAGCTCCTGTAAGAAGTGTTGGGATCCGGATTCGAAGGACCAAGTGATAATGCTGTTTCAACTACAGTTGAACCTGATGAAATCTCACACAACAAAGAGACAAAGTTAATCTTTTACTTGTTACATTGTACAAGGAGAATGTCTTGACAGAGGCAAGGCACAGACCCCAGCCTCTCTCAGGACAAGTCTGATGATTCACAGATGGCAAGCCCCTTTTGGTTGAACAAGACACACCTTCGTATGCAGATGGGAAAGGAAGAACCCACACAACAAAAGACACTCTGTATTAGCGTAAACAAAGAATGCTGTGTTTAACATATGAGCTCCCCAGACCTCGTGGAGTTTTGCTGGAACTGAAGTGAATTACAGAATAGCGCATTCAGCATATAGCCACATATGATTTACCAAAATGATAACTTAAATTACATTCCAATATCAATCACCCACATATTCTTTCCATGTCTGGGGGCCAAAACAAACCTGAGTGCTGCTGAAATAGAAGTGAATCGATAGAAGAGTTGCGTAGTTTGGGAAGAGCAGTGGAGTGTGGTCTCCTCATCCATCACAGACAAAAGCCTCAATCCTGTCCACGACAAGCCTCTAAGCCACTCTGTAAATACGACTGTAATATAGCAAAAACAGTGAGTGCATGTTTAGTCATTTTCTTATTCACTTTTCCAGCCAACCATTCCAAAAAAACAAAAAAAAATTAATTGAAGAAATCATGAATCACCTGAACTCTGTCTCAAGTGTTGTAGTACAGAACGTCTATTGGGTTTTCTTATTTTGGGAGAGGTCTGTTTAACATTATGTTTATATCAACCACTGTTTAAACATACTGCTATGTTTAAGTTGCTTTGATCCATTTTGCCGTGCTGTTCTGTTGTAGTTCTACTTTGTGTATTCTTGGGTTTCATTAAACTGGCCAGTAGGGGGCGAATGAGCAGAGGTGGGACAACTCAGTTTTGCTCCCATTGAAAACCATGTAAAGTCTGTTTTGGAGTCAAAAGGCTCTCCTCCTGTGCGGTGTACGGTTGTTGTAACAGTTTTAATCAAGGACACTCAATTCTAAGGGAGTACTAAAAAATATTTCTCAAAAGAGTCTTGATTTCAGGCATTTTTGGTAAGAAATACAGAATAAATTGCTGCGTTTCACTGGGGTGACCTGCAGGGGGCGCTTATCTGTGAAAGCCTCAATCCACCTCGCCCGCCTCATTCCGGGGATTTTTTCAAAGTCTACTCCTTTATATGAGACCACAGTTGGAACACGGAACAAACTCTTGTCTTTCTCTCTATTTGTGCGGTTGCTACAAGCGTACACCGCACAAAAAGATGGAATTTTGACAGCGCTTCTTCTTCTACTATATCTCCGTGTATGAACACGGCAGACTGCACCGCCAGGATACGTCACGTCCTGTCCTACGTTTGTCATTCGCGCCACTGCCCTGACGTCACATGATCACCCAAGAATTGTGTATTTGCCTAAAAAAGGGCATGTCCAAACTTTCTGGTAAGTTGTTCACTTTTGTTAACCAGACTCCTACAAGCAAGATTGTTTAAAAACTGTTTCAATTGGATTTGGGTTGTTCTGGTCGTCTAATTTAGGATGGTCATGTTCGTAATTGATTTACAATAAGACAGAGCTGAAGTTGGCTGAATGACACTTGGTATCTAACCAGCTACTATTGCGCACAATCACAAATCACAACACAATCAAAATTTGTCAATGGCTAGATTCCAGGGTCTCCTTACAATGAGGTATAATAAGTCTTTATGGGCGTAGCTGAAGTTGGCTGGACAATATTGTGAATGTTTACGTGGGGCTTAGTTTGAACATGGCCGGCCTATTGAGTACATATTTCTTGTATTTATGAAACTGTGGATTCATGTCCAATACTTTGTTTTGACTACAACACTTGACCCTCACATCGGTGGAGTGCAGAGATCTCATATCTCACCGGTCTGCTTTGCTTTACCCTTTCTCAAAGTGCTGTTCGGACACATGAACGACACTCAGCTGCTCTACGGGGATCCCCTCTTTATCTTAGTATGGACTTCATGTTGCAGTACTGCCTCTCTCCTGCAGGGCCAGAACGTCACACCGCAGACTTAACCATTACACCGTCAGGAAACTCATCAGAAACTGCCAAAGTAAAAGCGGTTTGAGGAGGAGGAAAATTCCATATTCATATTGCCTCAAGTCGACGCGGCCCTCTCATTACCCCCAGTGCTGCATTTATATTTCAAGATTAAGTATATGCTTCTGTTTCAGCCCATTCGGTAAAAATAAACGTCTTCGAGATTGCTCCATCTTAGATTGTATTAACATTTGAGTTGTTGTTTTGTAAAGAAAAATATTGTAAACATGGCAAGAGAACATTACTTCTAGATTGTTTGGTCTCACACTAAATGTATGCCTTTATCGAATAAAAGATATTGTATAACAAAATTAACAAAGGGTTCATCACTTTGTAAGAATGGAAGCAGTGTAAAAGGTGTGTGTGATTTTAGTGCTTTGTAGTCATGACAACAGGAGAAGAGTTAAGGTTCCTTCACCGCCTTAGCCATCCGTAAACTCTGGTCAATGAAAATGTCCCTACATGTATGTCTGGGTCTGATCCATGGATCTATTAGAATAACTTGATAGGGTATGACTAGTTTGGAGCTGAAGAATGTGCTCGGGAGATTCTCGCGGTACTGCAGACGAAACCAAACTAAATTCACGCCAGTTAAGAGAGCTGTCTGCTTCATCCTTTGCAAAGGCAGATGCAGGCGTCTCAAGTAAAGTATATTTGTCCATGCACAAATAACCACAAAAACACATTGAATTAAAATTTAAGGTGATGTCATCTTTAAAATACGTTTCTGACTGTGGGACACTGTACTCTTGTGTACAGTAAGTGCCTTTAATGAGTCCCTCCCCTTGGCATAACTAATTTGCTGGAGGAGAATGGTTGATTAATTTCAACCAATCAGGACCAGCGTTGTCTTGTCTGTTTCACTTAACTTACGTTCTCTTAAATCCAAAAACCCTCTGTGAAATACCTGTAATAGAATTGTTCATTATCAGGTTCGGGCAATTTGGAAAATAACACACGGTGGGCAACACGGTGGCTGAGTGGATAGCACTCTCGCTTCTCAGGAAAAAGGTGCTGGGTTCCAATCCAGGTCGGAACAGGGTCTTTCTGAGTGAAGTTTGCATGTTCTCCCCGTGTCTGCCCAAGTTTTCCTCCGGGTGCTCTAGTTTCCCCTACCACTAAAAACATGTAAGTAAGTAAGTAAGTAATCTTTATTTATATACTGCCTTTTCACTGCAGATCTGAGTCTCAAAGCGGTTTACAATTGTTAATTATGGGCATTTGTCTCTCACTCCACACAGAGATGGGAGCGGGGTCGCCGGTACACGAGGCGCATGCCAGACATGCCTATTGGACATATTTTTAGTGGTAGGGGAAACCGGAGTACCCGGAGGAAACCTACGCAGACACGGGGAGAACATGCAAACTCCCCTCAGAAAGGCCCTGGTCCGACCGGGATTTGAACCCAGGACCTTCTTGCTGCGCGGCGAGAGTGCTATCCACTCAGCCACTGTGCCGCCCATTAGGCCCATTAATGTACATTAGGTCTGAATGCAAATGAGAGAGTGGATGGATGGTGTTGGTTGGCGGCTTTGATGCGCCAGGGTGTTCAGATTCAGATTCAGATTCATTTATTACGCCATTTGCAGTAACACTACATTGGAATACATTTGTATGAGTTCCCAGTGTGCACAGGACAAGTACAGACACAAAACAACATTAAAAGACAAAAATAAAACAAATTTAAAAAAAAAAAACAGTAAACAAATGTCACCGTGAAGTTGACCAACTTAAAACAGATCTGTACGAGTGCAAAAAACATTAAAGTGCTCTATTCAGACTGTTAACAGCTCGTGGAAAAAAACTATTTGCATAACGAGATGTCCTGCATCTCAGAGAACAGTATCTTCTGCCAGAGGGAAGAAGCTGGAACAAGGCTTTTCCTGGGTGGCCAGAAGAGTCATTGATAATTCTCAGGGCACTGTTAAAAAGTCTGGATTGATAAAGAGCCTCCAGGACAGGAAGTTCACAGCCTACAGTCCTCTTTGCAGAGCGGAGCACCTTGTTTAAAGCTCTCTTTTCTTTATCTGTGATGTTACCGAACCACACAGACACAGAACCAACAAGTAAACTCTCAATGGTGCAGCGATAAAAGTTCAGCAGAATCTTAGAGTTAGTGGTAAATTCTCTAAGTTTCCGCAGGAAGTAGAGACGCTGACGGGCTTTCTTTACGACCCGGTCAGTGTTTTTAACCCATTTCAGGTCATTAGACAGAGTTCGACGTCTCGCTATCTGAATTCTGAACATTGTAAAGCGCTTTGGATGACCTTGGATGCGCTTTACAAACATTACTTATTTATTTAATTACTAATACCCATAAAAGTGGTCAAGAGGTTGTAATACTTGAGGCTACATTAACTTGTCACTTTAAAACACACGATACGCCCTTGCAGACAACCTGGCCGGCACCGTGATGCTCCTTTCCCTCTTGAATGTTTATCATAGATTAACAGTTGACAGAAAAGCCTCGACTTGAATATATTCGTTGTGAGATGGCCTCAGCGGCATCAGGGTCATCTGTGCTCTTGTTCCGCCCCAGCCTCTGCTCCGAGCCTGGGTGTCCGTGTCTCCTTGTCTGTATGCATTAAGCACAGCCCGTATTAGGCCGCTGGCTGTTTGTAAAGGCCTCCTGTTGTTGCAGATGACTAATGGTGCCATTGTCAGGGCTGGCAGCAGGATAAATAGAAACATGGCGCTATGAGATAAAAGAGGCGCCGCGCGGTGTGAGCTAGCCCGGCCGCTAACCGCTAACACGCAGCCCACGCCGTCACACATTCATTATGGAGCAATGAGGTGGAGGCAGCTGCTCCTATCACTGCCTGATAACAGACACTTCCTGTTTCACTTAAAGAGAGGACGGGCCATTTCTGTCACCAGGGAAAATCTATTATAAGAGAAATTCAGCACAGAGAGTGAATACCACTTATCAAAGCAAGCCTAGAGTTCTTATAGTAAGGGCTGGACGAGCTTTTAGTAAACTCAAAAAGGTTCATATGTATTACTTAGAAAGAGACGTATTACATGTTGAGCTTTGAACCATGTTACAATAGACCCGAAGTTGCTTTTCGGTCCAACCACATTATTACTGGCTGAGTGGATAGGACTCTTGTTTCTCTGCAAGAAGGTGTTGGGTTCAAATCTGGAACAGGGCTTATCTCCGTGTCTGTGTAGGTTTTCTGCGGGTGCTACGGTTTCCCCCACCACTAAAACATGTACAGTAGGTATGAATGTAATAAATGAATGGATCGGTTGAGCGGTTGGGTGACTTTGGTTGGTATAAATGTGCAATATAAATAAAGATTACTTACTTCTCCAGTAAACGTATGACTTAATTGAACCTCTATGACATCATAATCAGAGCAGTTTACTGTATCTTGAAACAAAGTTATTGCCTCTACATTTTTTATGGCAATTTCTCAGGTAGTTTTCTAAATTGTGAAGAAATAAAAGACTCCTCCCTCCGGTGGGAGCATAGGGAGTTACAAGCAGAATTTTAATTTTTTTTCCCAATATATGTTCTGCTTGGGGTAATATTTCACATTCTAAAACATGTAACGACAAAGTAAATAGTCCCATTATCATTTTTATTAGATAAAAATAATGCATATTTGTTTGTCTTTAAAATACATTTACAAAGGACAATATACAGTGTTATTATATATAATTGATAACGACTTGAAATGGAAGATCATGTTTTTTTAATCCAGTCCAGTCTTAATCATGAGCTTAGCGATGAGGCTAAAGGTAACTCAAACTCCTCCTTGAGCAGTTTCACTACGTTGTCTGTGTACTCATCTCTGGGACGTCCCATCCCAGAGAGGCGCACAGGCTGCAGGTCCGGGTGGGGAGGCGTGAAGTCCCAGGGGCAGTGGAGTTCATTGAGGACAAACCAGAACATGTCCGGGTCCACCTGAATCAAATTTCGAAATACACTGCAGAGAAAAGCATAAAGGTACATGTAGTCTTTTTCTTACGATTCAAAAATTACCTACAATTACAACTAAACCATGTGTTACGATTTTTAGAGAACAAGCACTGCTTTTGTGTCCTGCTGTTTCGGGGTAAAATAACTAGATTTCATTGGAACTAAAGAAATACACTGTAGCAGATTTGTGATGTGAGGATCAGTCTACTTTGTGATTGCAGATTCAACCTGAGAGCAATCAAAAGCAATCATGGCCATTGTTTTACTAATTACGAATTAATCAGCAATAAAAAATTTTTGCACATTTGCGCGGGGTGTCTGAAGGCACATGTGAACATTTTCAACTCTAAGTATTACACACGGTTCACTGTCTTTGTTAAGAGAATGATCCACAGTCTAGGACTAGCCTCTCTGCTGCACTTCAACGGGAGCTTCTGAGAGGACGGACTTTCAACTGATGCACTTCAATTATGACGGGGAAAAGAATCATTTTATACAATACAATATGAACCACTGACTGAAGAAATGATACATGAAACTAGTTTGACAGTTACAGTATCTATAACACTACAGTGCACTACAGAATAGTAGTCCAAAATTGTAAAGTCTGTACTTTAGGAGCATTAGATAAACATGCTCAATATCAGTGATATCAAAACAACTTTTTAAAATAATTACATTGGCATAGTGTATACCTTTGTATAGTGTTACACACATGTGTCAGTCACAGACAGTGAAAACCCTGAGGATATCTTCAGTATATATTGAGGTGTCCCCCCAGGACCTGTCCAACCGTCAGTCTCACTGACATCCACATCCGCTACGCTCTGGTGTGCCGCTTTATGTGTCGTGTGCTCGCTAAGAAATGTCAGTCAGGATGTGATTTGTATAAACAGGCAGAGTGGGGGACAGTACTGTGCATATGACTGTGATGGTCTTACCTCAGGCTGGCCTCCTGGAGTCGCACTGGTTGTCTGCAGCTGAGGTACAGTAAACACGCCTCACACACTTTGTCCAGATCTTCTTCCCCTGAAAAGAACAAAACAGATGTCTCACTCTTTTAGCACAGCACTCAATGCACTGAGTAATGTAGATCAAATAAATGTATGTTTGTACAGCCCAAAATCAAAACAAAAGGGGTTTCTTAAACACAGCATTTTTAATTGCCAAAGAAAATCAAACTCTAAATAAACAATATATATTTCATCAACACTTCTTTTGAAGCCTAAACTCAAGTAACAAACTGTATTAGACCTTTCAGCTCTTTAATGTCAGAATAACTCCCACACTTGAAAAAGCTCTGAAAAATAAGCCCACCTTTTAACTCAACAGCAAGAACGATAACGGGCAGCAGCAGAGATGAAAGAGCGTGAGCGACGCAGATGAAAGAGGGAATATGGATCCTGCCCAGACTCTTACAGACTTCCATACTTCTGTGAGAGCAGACGAGAGCTCAGGAACGCTCTCTCCAAGGCACACTTCAGCTTCAACAGGGAGACATGAGCAACTACCTGCGACCTGGGCTCACTGCTTTCCAAGCCATCTTTAAAACGCTGAGAAAGGGTGTAACTAGAGTTTGTTGATCGACTAGCTTTGGAAAAATATCCTTGAACAAAATTATGAGAAGAGAAGCGGCTGGGATGAGAATCAGCACCTCCAAACATGAGGCCATGGTGCTTGACCGGTAAAAGGTGCCTTGCCCTCTCCAGGTCCTCTCCAGGTCCTAGTCCTCTCCAGGTCCTAGTCCTCTCCAGGTCCTAGTCCTCTCCAGGTCCTAATCCTCTCCAGGTCCTGGTCCTCTCCAGGTCCTGGTCCTCTCCAGGTCCTGGTCCTCTCCAGGTCCTGGTCCTCTCCAGGTCCTGGTCCTCTCCAGGTCCTGGTCCTCTCCAGGTCCTGGTCCTCTCCAGGTCCTGGTCCTCTCCAGGTCCTGGTCCTCTCCAGGTCCTGGTCCTCTCCAGGTCCTTGTCCTCTCCAGGTCCTGGTCCTCTCCAGGTCCTGGTCCTCTCCAGGTCCTGGTCCTCTCCAGGTCCTAGTCCTCTCCAGGTGGAGTGGTCCTTCAGGTGGATGAGTTCAAGTATCTCGGGGTCTTGTTCACGAGTGAGGGAAGGATGGAGTGTGAGATTGACAGGCGGATCGGTGCAGCGTGCGCAGTGAGCGCTAAGTATACGGTCAATCTTTGTTTGAGCTTTGGGTAATGACCGAAAGAACGAGATCGCGGATACAACCGGGCGAAATGAGCTTCCTCAGCAGAGTGGCTGGGCGCTCCCTTAGAGATAGGGTGAGGAACCTAGTCACACGGGAGGAGCTCGGAGTAGAGCCGTTGCTTCTCCACGTCGAGAGGAACCAGTTGAGGTGGCTCGGGCATCTGTTCCGGATGCCTCCTGGACGCCTCCCTGGGGAGGTGTTCCGGGCATGTCCCACCGGGAGTAGGCCCCGGGGAAGACCCAGGACATAGAGGAACTGTCATGGATCTATAATGATAACGGTCTGCATGGACACATCATACTTCACCTTTTCTGAACAGGAGTTGTGTGGATTTCAAAATTTCAAAATGATATGAATGTTTCCAGCAGATTATCCAAAGCGAGAGCAGAATACAGTTATGTTTTTAATATATAAAGATAATTCACCAACAGCAGAATAGCACCACACATCTGTTTCAATTTAAGCAATACCACTTCTAGCTAAACTCCAGCAGGTGGTATGCATCAGCTACAAGTGCCACAGGTTGGATTGTAATGAGGACTTATAACAATAGGAAGAACTAGAGAACTAGACAAAGTGCATAAACCATAATAGCACCGATAAATCCCAGCAAACAGACAATGATTTGAATAAATATCACAATTACCACAAGCACTGCTGAGTTGGAAGATGGCAAATGAATGATTGCAGCAGGTGTACTTTCTCTGAACACTGTAATGTTTCCTCATTTGCGAAACACTTTCCATTTCTCTCACAAGGAAACATCTAATTGGTCTGAATCGTAGCCAGTCAGACAGATATCTTCACCTCACTTAAACTGCACTATTCTGTCTTTAGCGACATGGCGTTTGGTCTCAGGAAGGATGGAGAGAAGAGGCTAGAAACACGGCGGAATCCTCTCTGCGCGTGAATACCGATTTGGCTCCATCTTTCACCTCCGGGACGCCCTCTGCGAGCCAATTACGAGGTCTCCAATTCCCCCAAAGAGAAGCGAGGCAACACAGAACAACTCGAGCAAATCATTTACCCACAAATTGGCAATGTTATTTCTTATTCATTTGCCACAAAGTGTTCTGCACCTGGCCTTTTCTTAAGTTTTTTGCCGTCTTGCATCTCGAATCCCAAAAAGCAGAGGAATCAATGAGTTTTTAAATAATCCGTTCTGCTTTGAAATTCTTTTGGAATGGCAGGTCGGAAGAGAATAAAACTGTTATTCAAATGAGGCAATTATGAAGACATCTTTGTTTGCTTCGGAACCGGTAAAATTTACACCAGGAAAAAGGCGATGGTGAGAGATGAAAGTTGGAGAAGAGGATTGAAAATTCTTATGGTTTGAAACTTATGTGATGTCAATGTGAAACTAATATGATAAAATACTAGAAATATTGCTAAGGGAGATACATCAAGCTTAAATCTCAAAACTAGTACTTTTTAAAATAGGACTCAAGTCATAATCATTGATGTGTAAATAAACTAGAACTTTTTTGTCAAACTATGTCCAATACTTGCACTAAAATGCATGTACTGTATATTGGTCACAACCTAATACTATAAGAGGTACTGGGCTTATGAAAATGAAATGAAAACTAAAAAGGCACGTTGGAACCGTTGCAGATACTGTGGCCGCCTTTACACAGCACGTATTTGAAATATTGAGTCAATATCAAAGGGAGAAGGAAATGAAGCCTGAATGTGTCATTTCCTCCTTTGTGGGGGGCAGCCTCAAAGCAGAAGAAACCGAGAAGAAATGGTTCGTGAAGTCGATGCAGTGGTCGTGATGAGCGGCCAGGCAATTTCAAGCCGTCTGGTCAAGTGCAATTTACACACGCGGTGTAATGGCTTTTTAATAGAACGATTATGAGAGGCCACAAATGGGCTCTTTTTGGTACGAATGGATGAAAAAACCTCATGAATGTAGTCGATTATAGACAAAGGTGAAACATGTATGACAGGGTTAGTTATTGTTGCCAAAATGAATGTATGATTATGTATCTTGTTTATAAATAATTTAGATGTTTAACTTGGACAAATATACACTTTAGTGGATGGCACTTTCGCTTCTCAGCAAGAAGGTCCTGGGTTCGAATCCCGGGCGGAACAGGGCCTTTCTGAGTATAGTTTGCATGTTCTCCCTGTGTCTGCTCCGGTTTCCTCCAGGTGCTCCGGTTTCTACTACCACTAAAAACATGTACAATAGGTCTGGCATGCGCCTCCTGCACTGGCCCCGCTCCCATCTCTCTGTGAGGAGAGACATATGCCCAAAAATAACAATTGTAAAGCGCTTTGTGACTCTGGTCTGTGCAAAGCGCTATATAACTAAAGATTACTTTCTTACTTACACAAAGCCTGAATCTGTTAGAACCGTTTATAAATGGTGTTCAAGCACATATTATCATTAGAATATTTATCTACGACATACATTGCACTGAACGTACTATATCAAACATATCTGCTGTTTGCTTATGAATGGATCATGATCCAATGGACTTACACCATGCTGCCCTCCAGTGGTAACCATTTGTACTGATGTTTTACAGAAAATAGCCAAGTGCCAGCACGCACACACATACACATGCACATACACATGCACACACACACACACACACACACACACACACACGCACATACACACACACACCAATTTCAAGTTCAATTTAACTTTTTTCAGATAATACATCCCATCTCTGTGTGGAGTGAGAGGACAAATGCCCAAAGAATAACAATTGTAAACCGCTTTGTGACTCTGGTCTGTGAAAGGCGGTATATAAATCAAGCTTACTTACTTACTTGTGTTTTTTGGGAGTATTTTGAGGCTGCTAAGTCCTAAAAACTTGGCAGTGCGCTCTGGTTCCTGAAGTAAAATTCTTGTTAATTTTCCTCCAAGGACTTAAAAAAAAAAAATCAATGGAGGGTAAGCAGCCATGGATGTATTTATTTGCTAGGTTTATTCGATGGGGATGTATCTATGTAGCAACTACTCTCCACAGTGGAGTTGTTTTCAGATCAGAAAGCAACACAAAATGTTTTAGAAAAAAAGAGAGATATATATATATATAAAAAGGTTTTTTAATACAGCACATTTTTACTTAATCCTCTAGGCGCCACGGTTGACTTACAATCAACATAATGTAGTACTGTTTAAAACGACTGATTGAGTCAAGCAGGGTGTCTAAATGTTTCATAATCCCTGCCACACCATTATTTGCTCTATATTTCCCTGACCCTTGAGTATGTTACAATGTGATTCCTGTGTGTGTGTTCATGTCCCAGTAATTCGCGTCTGTCAATCATGAAAATACACAATTGCCACCACCAGAAGACGTCAGAATATGCAAATTAGATGGGTACAATTAATTCCTACATAAACTTTAGGCCATCCTTAAAATTTCTCAAGCCTCAATCTCTAATCACTTTTAAGTTATTGATAAATGAATATGTCAAAACTGAGCCTCTTAGCAAAAAACCTCTAGCACCTAAAAGATTGATTAAATTATCTCCCTGTGGTGGTAAAACTTTGACAAAAACATTCCACAATAGTCCCTCTGTTTCTGAGTGTGCGACACCTACCCAGGTCCAGTCTGCGACACAGAGAGCCCAGTCCCTCCAGAACAGCCAGCTGCAGCTTGAAGGCCAGCGTGTGGGCGTAGACGGGCCCAGCTCTGGCACTGACCGGAGCCTGACGGAGCAGAGACCCACTCAGCTTTGGAAGAACCTCTTTGGACACTCGCCTCCTCAGGAAATCTCCGCAGCTCTCCCCCAGAACACACAGCACCTGCACAAAAGAGACAACGATGAGGAAGATTTAGATATTTAATGAAGAATTTTGATCAGTTTGACAATTAATGTTATTGTACAGTTTTTTTCATTTTTAAGGAGCTGAATTTCTTTGTATACATTTCAATAGGGTTCAACAGTCAAAGGAGGGAGGGAAGGTTTTCACATATTCAAGGCATAGATTTAAAGAGTAAATTTGGGTTCTCACTTTACAAATGTCTTAAGGGGTTATGCGCTAAATTTAGACTATTATGCTTAAGTAATATATAAAAACTTAATCATTTATTAATTCTATTCTGAGCTAAAAATTAATACCTGAAAATGTACAGTTATTATTTATTGGAATTTCATGAGACAGATGATTTACCATACACAATGCCCACAACCTTAAATCAATATTAGCTATTCTATGTAATAATGATGCAGTAAGAAGGATACGCCACTGGTTAACAAGCACCTAAAACATTATAATGTAGTTTGTCCTGGTTTGAATAATGTTGTAAAATGTACTGCTGGAACTCTTCGTACTCTGAAGGCCCTGAGGACGGCCAGTGGGTCGTCCGCGGTCAGCCTCTGCAGGAGAGCGGGCCAGCAGCGATGGGCCATTGGAAGAAGTTCATCCTCCATTTCACTCAGGACAGATATGCACAACTCCAACACGTCCAGCGCCTGCCAATGCAAACAAAAGACATTAAAACATTGTGTTTGATACGATGATGACAAAATGTAAATGTGCACTTTATTGTCCCTGCAGGGAATTTTGTCCTCTGCATTTGACCTGATCCTGGAGCAGGAGCAGTGGTGCAGACACGGACACTGGGAGAACAAGCAAACTTCACTCAGAAAGACCCTTTTATGACCGGGATTTGAACCCAGAACCTTGCTGTGAAGCTGTCCACTCTGCCCATCAAACCGGTTCCAGAGAGGGCCGGTGTGGCTGCGGATTTTACTGGACTCACCTGAGGAACTAAAACCTGCAGCCACACCAGCCTTTTGAGGTCCGGTTTGCAAAGAAAAACTCAGAAACAAGTCTATGCATTTCCTGATGGATCACGTCAGCGCTGTGACCCGCACCACAACAGATCACGTTGGCAGACAGCGTTTTTTTGTTTGTTGAAAAAAAAAAAAAAAATTCGGCACAAGGCTGCCCGATCATACTTACATCACAAGTTCAGAAAATATAATGGTCAAACAAAGTGAGTAAAAACAGTTGGCGAGACACAGTGGCGGTGGTCAGAGGAGCTAAGGGGGACAATAGCATCTTGGCTTCAGGAGAATATAAATTAGTTAAATATATGCATGAATCTCAAAAACAAGTGACAAATCTAACAATGTGGTGAAAAGACAAATTATCAAAATATGTCTCCTTTAAAAACACATTCCTATAAGCCACAACAAATAGATATGCATTTATTAGTAGACACGACAAAGCTATCGCACCTTGAGGCGTAATCTGAGGCTCGGGTCTGACATCAGGTGAACGCAGCGCTCCATAACATCTTTCGTGATCCGCAGATGATCAGGAAGTTCTTTTTTCACATCAGGGCCATCAACATCATCCACGTCCTCAAGCTCCGAGACAGGGGGGGCATCTGAAAGCAACAATCCTATTTCTTTTGCCAGTGTTCTTTATGTCCAAAGCCTTAAATGAACATAACTTTTACCCACCAGTATCTGCAGAGTCCTCCATGTCGTCCTCGATGTTGATGCCCTCTGCCAGCTCTTTCTGTTTCCTGTAATCCAGCAGGAATTGGCCCACGTTGAATTCTTCTTGCTCTGTGGGTCTGGGCTCGGATTTATTCGGCTTTCTGGCGGAGCGCTGACTGGCAGGAAACCACCTTGCTAAGCCAAAGAAAAACAAAAAAATATACGCGAGTCAAAAGAAGACTTAGGAACAACAAGTAAGGCCCACAGTAGGAAAGTTTATTACATCTGTGTTCCCCAACCTCATGGAGAACTGTCACATGGTACACCCCCAGCAGAGACTGATGCAAAAATGAAACACTGCTGCTTTTATTGACAAAGCAAAGTCAAAATCACCATAATGTATTTAACAGAAAGCACAACCAAGCATTTCTAACCTTCTCACATTCATTTTTTTCAGATTATTTTTACCAATTTAGTGATATTGTAAAATTTCCAAGGCACACTGGTTGAAAAACACAGCATTACACCATATTGTCAAATGTAAGGTAGGTATTCTGCCTTCATGTTAGTGGTAGTAGTAGTAGTAGTAGTAGTAGTAGTAGCAGTCATAGAAGTAGTAGTAGTAATAGCAGCAGTTGTAGTAGTAGTAGCAGCAGTCGTAGTAGTATTATAAACCACATCACATAATTTGAAAAGGGGTTGGACAAAGCAGGTTCAAACCCCTCTCACACACACACACACACACACACACACACACACACACACACACACACACACACACAAATGCATACTCCCTCAGAGAAAACACTCTCTGACCCAACACCTCTCCCCCATCCCTTTCTCTGTGTTGAGGGCCTCGGTCAGCATGCCTGGAGCAGTCTTACCCAGGGCCTTAATCAGCACGTGGAGCACAGAGCAGAACAGAGCGGCTGTGTGGTCGTAGCTCAGGTCCAGAGCTGAGAGCACGTCCTGCACGATGTCGCCCACCAGGGGCAGCAGAGAGCGGTCCGAGTGAGTCAGCATCACCGCAAGAACGCGAGGAGCCTGGACAGCAGCAATGGACTTTTAATTGTTACAAGATCAAAAGAGATGCTGCATTGATGTGCTGTTAAAAAGTTATCTTATTTTGAAGGGCCATTTTCTGGAGTTCTGGGGTTTTGAGTTCTAAATGTTGTATCGATTTGACTGTTTTCGGTTTTAGTGCAAAGTTGAGACAAAATCAGTGTGTAGTCTTTTTATTCTCGTCTTCTCTCATTGACTTTAAAACAATAATAATTATACAGTTATCAGTAGCTCGCCACCTCCTTTCAGGTAATGCTGGGATACAGTATGGTACAAAGGTAAATGATGTATGTGTGTTCTCAATGATTGGCAGTAGCTATTATATAGACGACCAAGACTGCTAAATGGAGTAGCTCTCTGCACTTGATGTTTTATAAAAGTGGCTCTCCAATCCAAAAAGGTTGGAGACCCCCGCGTTAGCCTAATGGACATATTTGAAACAACATCAGTACAGCCCTTGTTCATACAATGATATAGACTTTTAATACTATTAATATTAATGCTTATATTTTGTATAGCTATATGCAGGTGAATTCATTTAAAAAAAGCTAAGGCAGCTTTTTGTCTGTGTCTTTATAACAACATTTGTATCCAGGCTGTATTTTGAAGCATTTTACTTAAAGAGAATGACGATTACACTTTTAACAGATATATCTTACGGCCTCATTATGTAACATTTTCAGAATCCTTTCATGAGAATCAGAATCCTTGTATTGCCATGTGAGTAACAGGAAGTCACAAACTAGTAAATTAGGCCATAAAAAATTTTGTAATGATAAAAATCTCTCTACAGTATATTTACATACCTGCAGTATCCTCTGTCTGTTCTCAGTAGACACATTAAAAAGCTCATATTGCATCAGGATCCATACCTGCGGGTGCTGCCTGAGCCTCTGCAGGTTCAGAGAGACGTCATTGAGCAGATAGTCAGAGTTCTGGTTGATCAGCTCCTTCAGAGAGGGGAGTCCACACGCCTGGCAGATGCTCCACATGCAGCCCAGCGCCGCCTGGCTCACTAACAAGTTTTCCTCTCCGGCCTTTTCTAACACCGGGTATAATGAAGTCATCAGTAAGGGTGTGAAGCCCTGGCCCAGCGCCTGAGCGAAACAGGAGATGCCCTCGAGCTGGACGCAGAGCTGCCAGATGTTACTGTTGAGCTGATGTAGCGCTGAGGTGGAGGCAGCGGCACCCAACGGCACCAGATGAAGAGGGGTGGGAGAGGGAGAGCTCTCGGTGTCCGGGATGGAGAGAAGTCTGGATGGACTGAGCAGCTGCAGAAAAAAATATTATAATCATAACAGTGTAATAACGAATTAGTCCAGACCAGGAGCGATCTAGAGGTTGCAGTCACATGACATCATAAGGCTAGCATCATAAGGCTAGCATCATAAGGCTAGCACAACCAGTAACCATCCTTTAAATCACTTCTTAAAACCCACTTTTATCAAACAGCTTTTAAAATAGTCAGCATTAAACTTTTCATGTCGTACTTTACTGTCTGCTTTGTCTTTGTTTTGTCTTTCTTCTTGTGTTTCCTCTTTGTCTTCCTGAATCTTTTATTCTAACTAATTCTAACTAATTATTTTGACTTTGTATTCTTATGACTGTTTTATTGTTAATTATGCAGACTGTCAGCCTTTGTGAACATTGTTTTTGAAAAGTGCTATACAAATAAATATGTATCATTGTTATTATTATTATTATCATCATCGCAGAATTCTGAAGCGCCAATAGTTTCAAATTGTGTAGGTCAGGTGAAATATATTTTGTCAAAAGTCTTCGTTTAGTACTGATTTCTCTAATTCTGTAATTCCTGGGTCAATCTATGAGAAACAAAAAACCCCACACAAAACTCCACAACTTCTTCATGGTCAGTACATATCAACTGTGTTCGAATTATTTTCCCATAAAAAAAAGGTGTCGAGAAGTGACTATTAAAAAAACATTTGCATGATTTTAGCCATGAGAATAGCAGAGTGGGTTTGTAAATCTAAATCACTATTAGATAACTATATGTCTCATTCTTTCATTGAGTTGTATTGGGACCTGCAGCCTCCAACTGAGAAAGAATTCTTAAACACAGACACGAACTGTTGCAGAATAAGTTTTAAAGTATTCATCTGAAGAAATTAGAGACATTTTGACTCCCATCAAAGTCATTTTCCTCTCTGGACTGAAGTGGATCGGGGAATGATTTTCGTGATGAGAGTAGTAAGTAGTAGTAGTAAGTAATCTTTATTTATATACCGCCTTTTCACTGCACATCGGAGTCTCAAAGCGGTTTACAATTGTTATTTTTTGGGAGTGGGGTCGCCAGTACAGGAGGCACATGCCAGACCTATTGTACATATTTTTAGTGGTAGGGGAAACCGGAGCACCCGGAGGAAACCTACGCAGACACGGGGAGAACATGCAAACTCCACTCAGAAAGGCCCTTCTTGCTGAGAGGCGAGAGTGCTATCCACTCAGCCACCGTGCCGCCCAGAGTCAAAACGTCTACGCTGAGAGACTGTCTATTCTTGGAACTTGGCTTGAATTAAAACAATCAAAGAAACAATAAGAAAAAGTTAGTGATTGTCCTCATCATAGATCACGTAAGACAAAACATTATTTGCTGGTGAAGAGTGTAACTAGAAGTTTTAAAAGCCTGAAAGTCAGAAATATAACATAAGCACATTCAGTTCCAAAAATCCAGAGCCGGGGTCAGAAAGGGTCTGTAAATTCAGCACATTTATGAGGTGTAGATATTTTACAGCAGACTTCATCTTCAATCGTTGTGTAGCTGGAGGCCCACAGAGATCCTGCTTAATAATTCAGTCCTGACAGCTCTCTGCAAAAGCACGGGATCTTTCAGTGCCTCTGCTCTCCAAAGAGTGCACTTTACACCAGGCTCAGAGCAGCTTTAGATACCCACAGAGTTTCAGGTTTTATTCACAGCACAATGTCGTAGCTTCGTCAATGTCAATGTTTTTTTTTCCCCCAAACAAACTGGATATATTTTTATGTCATGTCTGGCATTAACGTCAATTTAACCAACAACATCCCATTACTTTTTGCCATTGAGGAAAAAAAAGTAATTATTTTTTTGTTGCAGCAGCTCGAGTCCTGACTAGTACCAGGAAGTACGACCACATTAGTCCAGTCCTCAGGTCTCTGCACTGGCTTCCTGTGGCTCAGAGAATAGACTTTAAAGCTGCACTAACTGACTTTACTTTTGTATTCATTACAAAAATGCTATCCATGTCCATGCAGTGCATTGGGATATACGTCCTTTTGAAGAAAAAGTAGCGCAGGTTTGTGCTAGCGTGACATTATATTTTAGATCGAGTTTTGATGAAACAAGGAAGAGAATGTGTTTCGGGTCGCAGATTGTGACCAATCACAGCGGACCACTGGCCCCCACTTTCGTGAGAAATCTACAGGTCCGTTAGCATAGACAGCTGAGTTAGCACAACAAGCCGAGGAGCTAACCTGAAACTTCCTCGTCTTCATCACCGGTTACTGCTTACACAGCAAAACAGCCATCCAAAAGAAAGTCCCATTCCTCCGCGCTTCCCGGTTCGATCGTTCTATGGTCACGCCATCCACGTGCAAATCCATATCCATGTATTATCCATATTGCGAGACGCTAGCTCCGTCCCAACAGTGGGTGTGTGTGGGGGGCGATAGCTTCGTGGGTGCGGGGAGGGGAGCAGAAAGAGCGAGGCCAGCGAGTCTGCTGCTTCAAAATCCCAAAGTCAGTTAGTGCAGCTTTAAAGCAGCTTTGCTTGTGTACAAGTCTCTCCATGGCCTCGCACCAAAATATATTAGTGACATGTTAGTCCCATATGAACCAGCCTGGACTCTGAGGAGCACAGGGACTGGACTCCTGTTAGTGCCCAGAGTCAGGACTAAACATTGGGGAGGCTGCATTTCAGATTCATGCTGCTAAAATCTGGAACAATCTTCCTGAAGATGTGAGACAGGCCTCCTCTCTGACCATGTTTAAATCCAGGTTAAAAACAGTTATTTTTAGCTGTGCATACAACTGAGGGATTTTATATTTGTATCTTTCTTTTTAATGCATTGTGATTATGTATGATTTTAATGCTATCTTGTTTAGTTCAGCACTTTGAGTTGCCTTGTGGATCAATCGTGCTATACATATAAACTTAACTTGCCTTGCCTTGTTTCAATAATGTCTAATCCATGATATACAGTATGTTTGGTGGGAATATATCCTGTAGTGACGAGGGCTTAACCTGGAAGAGCACGGTTCAGCACAGACCCCTCACCTTTTGCTCTTGTTGGTCTCTGTCCGTGTCCTCGCCGACAGTTGCGATCTGCCAGTTGGTGACACTGATGTACTCCTCGGTGATGGATTCCACTGCTGCCCTCAGGTCGTCCTCAGCGTTTGCTCCGCTTCCATCCCTCCCGTCCAAACTCTGTCCGTATGTAGCCACAGCGACACCGGCAGCTCCCCGGACCACCTGGTTCAGCACCATCGCGGCCTGCTTCCTGTACACGGACGACTGCCGGTACAGGTCCAGGAAGTGGTCGGTCAGAAGGTAGAGGTTGCCGTAGTAACCTGTACACACAAAAATGGGGGGAAAATGCTTTGTTCTGTGTGTTTGTCTTTTGCATAAGAAAGAGCTGATCTAAAAAAGGTAGTCGTAAGATGTGACAGAGGCCAAACTAAAAATCTGATTTGATGTTAGGCCTAAGATAAGATAAACTTTATTGATGTCATAATGGAGAAATGTACAGGCTACTATTAGGCTTTCATTAAGCATTCATTATTTTATTAGATGCCTATTTTAATCTGGAAGCACAAAACACCTGTATTACACCAGGTTTTAAAACATTATTCACTAATATAACAAAGTGTATTGAAACTGTAAAAATAATGCAGATTAGTTTGGGTCTGTTTTATTTCTGATCATTGCACTATTTATGGCGTTTAACAAAGCAAATGTAGAGTTTGTGAGTTCCTGTTAATCACAATGGCACTTAAATCATTCTAAATGCGATTAATTCAGGTTTTTTTTTATTTCCCGGCCCTACTTAAAATATTAAAAAGACAATGAAATTTCCCACTTTTCTAAACTTCAAAAAATAATCTGTCCAAGATAAACTTTCAAACATCTTTTGACAATATTTAAAAGTCTAAATGTTATTCTTAATTGATTATTATGTATGGATTATTAGATTCATCAATATTTTGAGAATATTCTGGTCACAATATAATCTACAAAAAAAAAGAGCTTTCCATTTAATAAAACAAATAAGCAATATTTAACTTATTATTGGTATTTTTTGCAGTGTAGCAGAGGAATTCCCACTAATGATTGTGAATTAAATCATGAAAAAAATCAGAGTTTCACTGATATTTGCTTTAGAGATCCAAAATTAGGATTGAATGTGAAATCGTAGTGTTTGTCACAAAAACACATAACTCTAAAAGTGGAAACTGTGACAGAATCCATATCAACTTACCACTGCTACATCCGCACCTTCTACTTTGCTGCTTTTATACATCTTTGACACATCCACAGTGAGTTTTACCTAACATACGGCAGATCTCCAGGAGCGCAGACAAGATTCGCTCGTCTGTGAAATACAAGAAGTGCTTCCTCTGCACGTGAGCGCCGCAGCCGGAGTCCAAGTCGGCGTCGGTGTAGCTCCTCTCCTCCACGATCCGGACGTCCATCACATCCAGCTCCAGCACCTGTCACACGCATCAGGAGAAGAGGAATGTCAGCTGTGCTCATTTATCACAAACCATAAAACACACCACAGCTTCTGAAAGATGAGAGCCGTTTGGGATCAGAAGAATGGTCTTGTGCTGAAAGATGTATCAGTAACTTCTGTGGTGGGACATCTGACTCCAGCTTGTTCCCGGAAAAAAAGGTTCTCTCTCTGTTATACAGTATGGCTGGATATTCATGTACAGTTTTATGCTCAGAAAATACCATGTGTGTGAATTTTTTTTATAACAAAATCATAAATGGATTATATTTTGACGTCACTTTTATTGATCATTATGTCGTTTATTAAATTCAGCTCAATCTCTTTAGTGAGTCAGATTTTTCATAATGGCTGTAGTTTAGTTGGTTTAGTCTGTATTTGAAGGAGACACACAGGAGAGATATTCTACACACGAATACAGCCAAGAGCTAGTTTCCATCTGTAGATATTAATCTGTGTCATTGACATTTAATAATATGTTTAGTTTAATCGATTTATCCACTGACCTCACACACCCACAACTCATACACGTTCATGTATTCTTTGTTAATTTAACTTTATGGCTTGTGTGGTTTCCTCTTGTTTTTGCTACTCCTGAGTCTGAGCTGTAACACAACATATCACCCACATTTGTTATTGTTTTATTTGCAGTGATGGGAATAAGTTACTAACGCCGTTACTTTTTTCAGTAACGAGTAATCTAATTAATTACTTTGACTGTAACTATAACGCCGTTATCATTGCGGACACCCCGTTACTGCGCGTTACTCAAGTCGCACAATTAACTTTTTTTCCTTCATGATAGGATCTTGTTGTCTTGAGAGAAAGGAGGATGAGAAAACCTCTCAGCAATTATTGGCTGATGTAAAACATATTTCCTTTACAATCTACATGTCTACAGTTGAGAGGATGGTCATAAATTGTGTTTTTGAAACAAATATTGGTCTTAATCGAGCTCAACCACGGCTTCTATCACCGTGAGGGCTCAGAGGAGCGCATGTGAGCGCAGAAATCGGCTGCATACAATTCCATCGATAAGCTCCTTTCTCTTCCTGGTTTATCTGCTAAGGACAGCAACAGGTTTGGCTAACATACATATAACACATTTTAAGATAAATTAAAATGCAATTAGGGTATTTTTTTCAATGACTATAGGAATGATAAGAAAGAGAGGTGAAGTGTAAGACGGTTGATTTTAGAAATTGGATGCACCCGGCTGCAGCAAAACAGAGGAGTTTACGGAGGACACACGCGTTTTGTTTTACTTTGTTAAAACTAATTGGACTCATTTCCAAATGGAGGATTACATATCTACGCTCAAACTACTATCTGGACGTAAACACGGAACTGGTCTGAACCGAAGTGGCCTGTGCAGGTCATTTATAAGGTAAGACCCATAACTCATAGTTTTGAGTTTTGTATGGACAAACAATGCATGAAACATATTCTGCTGTAGCCAAACAAACTGTGAATAAGCCGCTCTGTAGGTCCTGTTGATTTATATGATGTATATGTTCATCTGATTGGGCTGAAGTCAGTGCTTCACCGGTGTTTCCACATTCACAGTGGCGGGTGTTGGTGTTTAGTGCTGACAGCACAGAGAGAGATGAAGAGTGAACAGGACTTCAGCAGAAAAACAGACTTTTCTAGATGGAAATATTGGCACTATTTAAACTCACTGAGGTTAAAGGTTAAAGGTAAAAATGTGCACGTCGATTGCACATTATGTTCCAGAATGAAACGAAAAAGTAACGCAGTAGTTACTTTTACTGGTAACTAGTTACTTTTATAGTGGAGTAACTCCGTTAGTAACTCAGTTACTTTTTGGGAGAAGCAACTAGTAACTATAACTAATTACTTTTTCAAAGTAACGTGCCCAACACTGTTTATTTGTCTATGTAACCCACATGAAATAGCGGCCCACTGACCCCAGGCTTTTCCTTTAAGATCCCTGTCCCACCTGTCACCCCCCCTCTCCAGTCCCACTCATGCCAACACGCTGCTCCTGCTGTGGCCTGGACAAGTCTATTTGTGGCTATAACCAATAATTTGAAAGTTACGAACAACCCGCATTCCCGTACCGGAGCGTGTCTCTCGTATGTCATTCATCGGGTGAGTCAAAAATCTAAATATTCAATCTATTATTCATACCTGGATCTTGCCGTTTTTTTGACACACACTTGGCTCCGTGGCCGGATCTAGTTCTGTTATACATTGCAGTCAGCGCCCTAGCCTGCTAGCGTTACATTTAATTTTTATTTGGGGGATATGAGAACATGCAAAGTCCACACAGACTTTGTTTGTGTGGACCTTCTTACCCTGAAATGGAATCCAGGACCTTCTTGCTGTGAAAGACAAGTGCTGTTGAATTGTGTTTTAAAAGGTGATTCTGGGGTTTGTCTTATGTGATGATTTGTGCCTTGTGTGATGAAGACTGTGAAGCGCTTTGTGTTTCCCTGTGTATGAAAGGCCCTCTGCAGATAAACATTGATTAACGTAACCTTACCTGCATCAATGCCTTGGAAACCCTCTCCAGATGAGCAGCGGAGGTGAGGACCACAGACACCAAAGGGCCCAGCAGTTTGATATATCCCAAAAACACATTGAGAACAAAGAGTTTCTTCTGGTCGTCTGAAGTCCTCATGAGACGAGGCAGGGAGGTGCACAGGGAGTGGAGGTTCTCAGAGAGGACGTCTGTGAAGGTCTTGGAGAGGCTTTTACTGCCGTCATCTCTAACAGTGGTCTGCTGGCTCCTCTGGGAGATCTCTCTAAGGATCACCTCACATCTAAATCAGAAGTGAACACAGACATTACAAAAATCAGTAAAAAAAAGCGTCTAGTGGTGAGTATCAACAAAAGATGCATAGGCTTTAGAAATTCATCAGGAGCTAATGGTTTGTGTGTTTGTCTCTGAATGATTAAACTCAAAGAACCTTGCCATAGAAACAACAAAGTGCTAGACAACGTTTGTTAGGGTTTTTTGTGGCCAACTTTTTTGATTGATTTTGATTATAATAGATTATATTGTCCTGACCTGTGGAGTACCACCTCTTAAATTTGTTCTCTAAAGACTGCCAATTAGGCTCGTAAATATGTAGTAACAACATGTCCTATCACACTATATATAGATAATACACAGATATATAGATAATACACAGATATATAGATAATACACAGATATATAGATAATACACAATACACAGATATATAGATAATACACAGATATATAGATAATACACAATACACAGATATATAGATAATACACAATACACATTTATATAGATAATACACAATACACAGATATATAGATAATACACAGATAGATAGATTATAGATATAGATAGATATAGATAATGCATAGATAGATACAGTAGATAGATAGATAGATACACAGATATATAGACAATACACAGATATATAGACAATACACAGATATTTAGATAATACACAGATATTTAGATAATACACAGATATATACTGTATGTCTAGGGTGAGGCTAAAAACTAAACAAAAACCTTACCTCTCTCTGACCCTGGGTTCCTCATCGTTGACGACCCCGACCAGCGCATCCAGAAGAGAGCCCACACACTCTGCCAGAGACCGTCCACATGCCCTCAGCAGGAGGTCTGCCAGCTCCACCAAGGCCAGACGGACCCTCCAGTGCTGATGGGCTGATGTGCAGGAGATGATCTTCTTCAGGAGGACACGTAGTCTGTCTGCAGTGCTCTTCACCCACTCCTCTGTCCTGAGAACCAGCAGCTGACCAACACGACCCAGTTCTGGGGCTGGTTTCTCCTCAGGGTCAGAGCAGTGGAGCTGGGAGTCTTCCATCACCAGTGTGACGGTACCAGACCATAGCTGAGGGGAGGATACAGATGTAGGTCAGTATAAGAGAGTTTACTCAAAGTCTTATACTGTATGGATTCCTAATCACAACAATCTCATAATAAACACAATAATAAGCATCTACTTAAAGCTGGTGTACGCACACATTTCAATACACAAAATAATAGAACAAAGTATAACAGGTAGCCAGTTGCCAGCTATTTGCTTCGATCACTACTTTTCACATCCATGTTTTTCCAGAGGACCACCCTGACTCAGCCAATCAGGTTAGTCTATGGAAAGGCAAGGCAAGTTTATTTGTATAGCACAATTGATAAAATTGATTGATGGCAACTGAAAGTGCTGAACAAAACAAGATAGCATTAAAATCATGCATAATCATAGTGCAGTAAAAAGAAAGATTAAGAATATAAAATCCCTCAGTTGTATGCACAGCTAAACAGAACTGTTTTTACCTGGATTTAAACATACGTCAGAGAGGAAGCCTGTCTCACACTTTCAGGAAGAGTGTTCCCAAATTTAGCAGCATGAATCTGAAAAGCAGCCTCCCCATGTTTAGTTCTGACTCTGGGCACTAACAGGAGTCCAGTCCCTGTGCTCCTCAGAGTCCGGGCTGGTTCGTATGGTACTAACATGTCTCTAATATATTTTGGAGCGAGGCCATGGAGAGACTTGTAACAAGCAGAGCTGTTTTAAAGTCTATTCTCTGAGCCACAGGAAGCCAGTGCAGAGACCTGAGAACTGGACTAATGTGGTCGTACTTCCTGGTTCTAGTCAGTTCTTTAAAGTAGGTTAAAGTAGTTCTTTATTCATGTTTTACTCTTTTTTTTTTCTAGACACTCTTTGCATGGGACTAATGACTTCCATTAGTCCCAGCAAAGAGGGGTATGTCAAAAAGTGACATACCCCAGGTTTAAATCAATAATAGTAGAGATTAAATTAAAACATCATACCTTCATGGCTCTGACTGTAACGCTGTGTCCTTGCCGTGTGTCGCCTGTGATGATCCTTGCTACAGTCGTGGAGATTCCAGGTAAGAATGAAGCCATAGTTCTTCCTAAAGTCTGTCTTTGCGCTGTTATGTCTATGTGCTCCTGACTGCAATCACACTGCTGTATCAAAACTAACAAAAACTTCAAAGCAGCACCCTGGATTTCCCGACTTTTCTCCTTTTCTGCTAAGGCCAATAGCAATGACACCGCAGCCCCAAGCCCGGGTAACATGACTGGTTCATAGAGTTTGAAGACAATATCCCCATAAGCTCCATGTATCAAGCTGTCTAAACATTTAAGAATGGACAATTTAAGCTCCTCTGACACATCTGCAGGTTTCCCCGGATCTGTCGGATGGCATAGACATAGGCAAAGTTCAGAAAAGAGATCGCGTAGAGTATCCCATCTTTGCACGCAGGTATTTTCCAAGACGTAGTGGATTGCAGCAGCCACAGCTTGCACCAAGTTGTCATTCTTAGGTCCAGGGACTTTCAGCACAAAGCGTAACGGGAAAAGTATATAGTCTTGAAGTTGCTGCAAAGAAATATCGTTGACTTCTTTTAACTGTTCGCTCAACGTTTGCACATTGGACTGAGTGGGTTCTTTGGTCAGCCGCACACAGGCAGGACGCAAGAAGGCAAAGGCAATCTTTGGGTCGCTGATTTGGGACATGGCTGGAGGCATTGTTGTAGCTAATTTCTGGAAAGACAATAAAGTTAGCTGTCAGATTAAAGTGTTATTTAGTGGCTAAAATTAGCAAATGCTTTTGAATCAGCATGTTATTAAGTCAGTAACATAAGCTCATTTGTAGTTTTTCTCTGGTTTCATTATTCTCCTAAAAATGTTATACTTGAACAAAACACTAAGTTATACTACATTCAATATAACAGATTATGAAACATTTTCTCATAGTATTTTTCATATAATAGTCCTTTTGTTATTTCAAAGAATATAGCTATTATTTTTCGTAAATGGTTTATTACCCATAAATTCTAAACACATGCACTGAATTGTCCTCCACTGTGGGACGAATAAAATAATATCTTATCTGATCTTGTTATCTTATATACATTCTCCTGAGTAGGATCCTCAATAGCAGGTTGATTATAGGTACGTAGATTAAACCCGATGGAATGGATGAGAAACATTAACATTGTGAATTAGCTGTTAGCTTTATGGCCTATGGACAAAGCATCAGTTATTTGTAACAATGCTTCTTGTTCTGTCTCTATCAAATAAACATAAAAAAAAAAATCAAAAAACTGCAACAAATTCTCTAACTCTAGCATCAAAGCCTAACATTTCTATCATTAACATAATTGGCAAAAATGAGAAGCACGTAAAGAGTAGTAAAAAAGTAAAGTAAAGTGTTTTTTTTTATAAATGAAATGATAGCAGCAGTATGTTTACATCTGTACATTAGCAGCAGTATGTTTACATCTGTACATTAGCAGCAGTATGTTTACATCTGTACATTAGCAGCAGTATGTTTACATCTGTACATTAGCAGCAGTATGTTTACATCTGTACATTAGCAGCAGTATGTTTACATCTGTACATTAGCAGCAGTATGTTTACATCTGTACATTAGCAGCAGTATGTTTACATCTGCACATTAGCAGCAGTATGTTTACATCTGTACATTAGCAGCAGTATGTTTACATCTGTACATTAGCAGCAGTGTGTTTACATCTGTACATTAGCAGCAGTGTGTTTACATCTGTACATTAGCAGCAGTATGTTTACATCTGTACATGTTAGCAGCAGTATGTTTACATCTGTACATTAGCAGCAGTATGTTTAGCTACATCTGTACATTAGCAGCAGTATGTTTAGCTACATCTGTACATTAGCAGCAGCAGTATGTTTACATCTGTACATTAGCAGCAGCAGTATGTTTACATCTGTACATGTTAGCAGCAGTTTGTTTACATCTGTACATGTTAGCAGCAGTATGTTTACATCTGTACATTAGCAGCAGTATGTTTACATCTGTACATGTTAGCAGCAGTATGTTTACATCTGTACATTAGCAGCAGTATGTTTACATCTGTACATGTTAGCAGCAGTATGTTTACATCTGTACATTAGCAGCAGTATGTTTACATCTGTACATTAGCAGCAGTATGTTTACATCTGTACATTAGCAGCAGTATGTTTACATCTGTACATGTTAGCAGCAGTATGTTTACATCTGTACATTAGCAGCAGTATGTTAGCATCTGTACATGTTAGCAGCAGTATGTTTACATCTGTACATTAGCAGCAGTATGTTAGCATCTGTACATGTTAGCAGCAGTATGTTTACATCTGTACATTAGCAGCAGTATGTTTACATCTGTACATTAGCAGCAGTATGTTTTCATCTGTACATGTTAGCAGCAGTATGTTTACATCTGTACATGTTAGCAGCAGTATGTTTACATCTGTACATTAGCAGCAGTATGTTTACATCTGTACATGTTAGCAGCAGTATGTTTACATCTGTACATTAGCAGCAGTATGTTTACATCTGTACATGTTAGCAGCAGTATGTTTACATCTGTACATTAGCAGCAGTATGTTTACATCTGTACATGTTAGCAGCAGTATGTTTACATCTGTACATTAGCAGCAGTATGTTTACATCTGTACATTAGCAGCAGTATGTTTACATCTGTACATTAGCAGCAGTATGTTTACATCTGTACATTAGCAGCAGTATGTTTACATCTGTACATTAGCAGCAGTATGTTTACATCTTTACATGTTAGCAGCAGTATGTTTACATCTGTACATGTTAGCAGCAGTATGTTTACATCTGTACATGTTAGCAGCAGTATGTTTACATCTTTACATGTTAGCAGCAGTATGTTTACATCTGTACATGTTAGCAGCAGTATGTTTACATCTGTACATGTTAGCAGCAGTATGTTTACATCTGTACATGTTAGCAGCAGTATGTTTACATCTGTACATTAGCAGCAGTATGTTTACATCTGTACATGTTAGCAGCAGTATGTTTACATCTGTACATTAGCAGCCAGAGGGTCTGGGACACAGTGACTCAGTAAAGTGACCATTTTTAGTCGGTAAGTGCACAAAAAAAAACTCACCTTTTCTGTTTGATCTCAGTGGAGTGGAGATAGCATCTGAAATGGTTCAAGAGGATATATCACTAAATAAATAAATCCCATTTCAACTTAGACCAGTGTCAGTCTGTGCCTGTTAAAAAGCACAGGATCACATTCACACTGTATCGCATCCAAAAAGCGTGGATTGGCGCTCTGGACAGATATCTCCATTGCGCTTTGATTTAAGATGTAGAGCTATGAATACACACCATTTTCATACTTTAAAATGTGGCAAGCCTCTCATGTTTGTGGGACCGCGGCGCATGTCTATGACGCAGACACGCAGGCGACGTAATCAAGCTGCAAGAAAAATAATAGATCCATGCCACTAACACATCCTGTACTTTGGATCCCCAAGTTTGACAATCATGGCTTATTTTCCAACAAGTAGTATAATATGAGTGTATGTACGTTTTATATATACATTTTTAATAAAAACACACGCATTATTAACCGAAGTTTGTTGCAATATTATTTTAGTATTATTTTATTTTGAAAATCAAAGTGAGAAAGGCGGAAGTGTATCATGATCCAGGCTGGAACTGAGCTAACTGGACTCTTACCCGGTTTGTTGTGCCTTTTGCTTTTAGGATTTTGTAAAGTCTAGTTTTTAATCATATACATCCTGTGGCTCACTTTTCTACTCTTGCACCTGTCCAATAAGGTTGTACCATGTTGAACAACATCTATGTGTTTCAACCTATGGATTCTGGAGTCTAGTTTCAACACATGCTATGAGCTAGCTAGTTTAGCAAGACACAAATCATTCACTGAGTAAAGTGTTAATTTAATATTACATATATGATTGGCAACGTTTATTTTTATTGTTTTACTCTGAAAAACGGAATATTTCACAGAGGCTGTTTATAAACACCAATATTGCTTTTCTAGGTGCAGCCATGCCTTGATGCTGTCCACCAGTCAGATCCAGCATGGATGAAGAGTCTCTGGAAGCTGCTATTGCCACCTACACAGGGCAGCTGCAGCAGGTGGAAGCAGCACTGCAGGCTGGCTTGGACCCCTCACAACAATCTGATCTTCTCAAACTGAAGGAGGATTTGAGCCAACTTGTGGAACTCACAGAATCCAGTCTTGTGTCAGTGAAAAAGAGCAGATTATTAGCCAGTTTAGAGGATCCAAATTCTGCTCATCCTAATTTGCAAGCTGAAGGAAGTACGACGAATGGGGCATTTGATGCTGAGTTTGCAGCTTTCTATTCAGAAGTCGGAGAGACTTCAAGTAATAATGTGGTTGAGGATAATGATGAAGGAGATGATAATGAGGATGAATACGATGAAGAGGAAGAAGACCTGAGTGGGAAAAAAGTGAAAGCTCCATACAGGACAAACTGGGGGACTTTGGAGTACCACAATGCAATGGTGATGGGAGCAGAGCCTCCTGAAGAAGAGGAGGCCTGTGTCAGAGTTCTTTACATTTACCCCACTCAGAAGTCCATGAAACCCTGCCCATTTTATTTGGAGGATAAGTGTCGCTTTCCAGACACTTGCAGGTCAGTTCTGATAACTTCATATACTGTTGTATTACTGCAATGATAGATAACATCCACTAAGGGGCATTGTTGCGCTTGTAGATATTTCAGTATGTATCACATGAACAACTTAGAACGTAATTGTATGCTCCTTTTAAATGTATGGTTCTTTGATCATGTAACTTTATGTATATTATGTGTACTTCAGGTTTTCTCATGGACAGGTTGTACTGGTGTCAGAGCTCAGGGACTTTGTGGAGAGCGACCTCAGTAAACTTGAAGAAGGCTCTTCTTGTTTGGCTCGACATGAAGATGGTATTTGGTATCCAGCCAAAATTACAGGTATTTTCAAATGTAGATCAGGTACAAAAGCAGACAAATACTGCAATAGTGATTGTAGCAAGGACGTTTGATAATTTTCTTTTTGTAAGTAATAACAATGTTCTTACTAGTTATTGATCATATGTCAGTTTCTATTATTATGAAATGTCCATAATGAACAATTAAAGAACAAATGTGAAAAGTCTTCTCTTCATTACAGTATATAATTATGTATGTAACTGTAGAAAATTAAATGGCCGTGAAAAATGTTATTTCACCATAACCTTGAACACTTCGGACCAGGACTTTTCATACTTGAAGGGAAACATCAAGAAAATAGCTAAAACATTTGCGGCAGATATTATTATTCAAGACTGGTTCCATCCTTGTCCTTTGTCTGTATCAAGAAATCAAAGTGAAATAGCTTAAATTAGTCATAAAAGGCAAAGGTTTAGCACACTTGTTTACAATATACTTGGTTTTAGGGCGGGGTGATCTGGGGAAAAATAATCTAAAAAAATGTCCTCCATATTGACCAATCTCAAGTTTTAGATTAGTTTCTACTTTCATTAAAATAAGAATCAAATTACTGGTATGACATTTTTAACACGACATATTGTTTATTGACAAGGACACATGAGTGAGTCGAGGTAAAAATCTAATAACTCTCACTGTTATTTATTGTACTTATTTGTTAAGGTCAAATTAGAGATTTTTGGCACAACTCTACTCGGCATTCTGTTGCTTCTGTTATTGCACATAAAGTCTAGAACCTTACATTTCTTTTCATGTCGATACAGCAAAATCCTTTGACGTTCAGCCTCTTGTTGTGTGTCCTTGTAGACATCGATAACAGCTTCTACACGGTGAAGTTTGACTCTGCGCTGATGAAAGACGCAGTGGTCGAAGCAGACGGTCTTATTCCTCCAATGAGAGACGAAGACCCGGTGACATCAGACTCCGAGGACGAGGACGAGGATGCTGCTTACGCAAAAGGTATACCTCCCCTTTAAGCTTATGCCCGTCAATGTTATGTGAGGAGACTTGAAATAACAACGCATGGTTTTCCTGCACAGTCCTGGATTCAGCTGAAGACTCCGCAGCATCACAAAGCACAGCAGAATTCGGTGGCTGGGAGGCACACACCAGAGGCATCGGCTCCAAACTCATGCTCAAAATGGGTTATGAATATGGAAAAGGTGATTTGTTTTCATGAGTTTGTTCAAGGCCTTTGTGGAGTTGCCTCAAAGCTCCGGCAATAACTGTGCTCTCGGCCAAAGTGTCAAACCTCCAAAATCTAATATGGTGGATTCAAACAGTAATTACTTTGTGGGAAAATGCTTAACCCACTGTGCCACAGCTCCTTTTACAGGACAGATTACTTTCACAGTGTTACTGAGTGATACTGTGTGAAAACGTATGGCGATTGTGATTTTTCTGAAAAACATTGAACTTGCGATTTAGATGTAAAATTTTGTCTTTAAATACTGTTACATTTTTTAAACAGTAAATCCCTAGCACAATATTATTGTCAATAATTCTGGTGATTCGTTAATTAAGACCAGAGAGCTTTGTTCAAAAAGTGGAGAGGGTGGTTCTTTCCTAAAATTTGGGAAAATCCTCCTGTTTACCTTTTTAAAATACAAAAAAAACACGAATGAACAAACGACTGCACTAAAAGGCTTAAGATACTTGTTCTATTGGTAATTATTCAACATTATATACATTAATATACTCCAATCAAGGTCATTTCCACCTAACTATGGCTTACATTTTAAGCATTTTTCATATTACCTCACAAGTTAGGTCCCACAGCTTTTAATAATTGCAGTCTTTACGGCCACTGAAATTGCGATTTCTCCGGCACTCTTAACGTCTCTGTTTGCGCACAGGTTTGGGCAAGACACAAGACGGGAGAGTGGAGCCTGTGACGGCCGTGCTGCTGCCCAAAGGCAAGTCTCTGGACATGTGTGCGGAGCTGACGCAGAGGCGCGGCCAGAGCAGAGCGGCTAAAGACGGCACGGCGAAGGGACAGCCCAAGAAACGCAGGAAGCGGCGGAAACGCAACACGGAGGGGCGCCAGACGGTCTTCGACTTCCTCAACCACAAACTGGGAGGGAAGGGTGCGAGCGGTAACGCGGCGGGCGGAGAGGGGTCCACGCCGACGGGAGTGGAGGCCTACAGGGGCAACAGCAGCACCAAGAGAAACCTGAACGTGCGTCTGTTCAAGGCCTCCGAGAGAGTGGCTCAGACCGAGAGAGAGATCCAGAGAATGACTGGGACTCTCAAAAGGCTAGCGGGAAGGTGAGCCACTGTTTTATACTACACTGGGATGTCAAAAGTCTCAAAAATCACCTCTGAAAGCACCTACAACACTGAAAAAGATTACATAAACAGACAACATGTGAGATTCTCTAAGATTCTTTTATGCTAGCATGATGAAGTACTATGACACTGTATTTTTATTTATGTGTATTTATGATTATCACTGAGGTATTAAAAGTGGTATAGAATATTCAGTCGATTTCTCAGTGACGATATCAAGTTTGTATATTTAGTATCGTAGCAACACTAACTCTACAGTATGTTTTACCATTTGTATATATTATTCCACAAAGTAAACACACACATGTCCAACGTAACAACACTATGAAGATAATTATTTTCATCTACATTTATTAGGCAGTCGTCAATTCACCAACAACAGATTCGAGGTTCAAATAGTTACTGCTTGATTCTTGTGTGAGAAGGGGCTTATCATTTTCACAGTTCTAAGACCGCTGGAACCTTTTCATGTACCTTGTCTAATCCAAGGATTTTTCCAATTATTTTAAACTTTTGTACCCATTTTGACCCATTTTTAAAGATATATGCCTTACTTCCTGGTTCTGGTGACGTCACACTAGCACGTTACATAATGTTTGTTTTAAATGATTCTAAACTTTTAGACGTCATTCTTTAAATCCCTATTGTACAGTCTATGTTGTAAAGTCGTCTTTTCAAAAACTCTCTTGCTCTACTTGCGACTTTATTTGTGTAAAAGTATCATTTACATTTTTTATCATGTGTCAGTCCACCAAAAGCTTGTCAAAAAATAACAAAAGAAAAAAAACCTGCCATGCACACTTTAAGAAGTACAGTAGGAGCAGGGGAGAGCGGGGAGTTTGACATAACGGCAGAGCGGACAGACTGGTGGCTTCACTGAAACTCTTTCCTGAATCATGTGAAAATCTAATTCTACATAAAAAGTGTGTGAGGAGTCGTTTTTAAGTCCTGTGAAGAAAGTTCAAGTGTGTTTTTTGATGACCACCAAAGTACAGTAGACTGACATTTTCTGATTATTCAGCTGTTAAATCGTTTCCCATCGTCGCGCGCTTGAATGGACACCCTGGATTGGTTTTACTAAAGAAAATGCTTTTGGCACATTCTTCTTTGGCTCACCTTCAACTATTCATGAGTTTCAGCTTCTTGTTTCATGCAACATTTTGAGAAGACTTACCTGTCGAAAGATTTACTATTGTGTTTTGATATGTTAAGTCTGAGTCATTGTCTTTCATTTGGATCTTGACCTTTTGTCTTTGGCCAAATTCAATTACTTAAAGCTGGGGTACCTTTTTGTTTCATAAGTAACAACAGTCATTGCCCCAACTGAAGGAGATCTGTGAAAGTGAAGTGCCTAAAACCAATCAGGCCACCTTTATTTGTTCTATTAGGAAACATGTTATCATTTGCAATACAATACATGTAAGTAAGGGCCTTGAGAGTCATCTTTTGGCTCTTTGGGATGAGAGCTGATTGGCTGAGGGTAGTTGTCAGAGGCCAATCAAGCCCCGTTGATCCAAGATGACGTCCTATTCAAATGATTGGCTTGTGCTCAGTAGCGCATGTGATTTACAGGAGGACCGGAAGATTAGCGGAGCTCGCCTGTATTTGGGCATTGTCTGACCAATCAGAGCTGCTGATCAGAGAAGTGGTAGAGCGGAGTCAGAGCGGGAAGGAAAGGAGCAGAGTTTGTGGCAGTAAAGTGTGGATTTAAAGAAAACAGAAGGATTTAGGAAGAAAAAAAATTCAGGATGACAAGGGACACTAAAATCCGATCTTTATGAAAGCTGTAGGTTCTCTGTCAGCTGAGGTCGAGCTGTTTTAATTCACGTTGAGTTCAATGGGACTTTTTTCTGGGTAGCCCAAGTGAATTTAGTCTGCAGTACTACGGGCGCCGCCTGTGCCCATGGGTGGGATAGCTATAAGCTAGTAATACCCTATACAGTTATTATCTATTATTATTATAGATCCATGAGGCCAATATACATGCATGTGAAACAAGTGATGGAATAGTTTTGAAAGCAAAGAACTACTAGGAAGTTTTTTTTTTTTTTTATGTGTTGAATTTAAAAGGTCCCGTAAAGAACTCAGGTTAGCTTAGCATTAGCATCCCAGTAGCACCAAGTCATAACCACTCCCGCTTCCTCCTGCCCTCCACCAAACCCAACTTCCAGCACACACAAACGCCTTTTCTGAAATAACGCAGTCTGTGATGAAGCCTTCCAGCTTGAAATGTGAAAGTATTACTCTACATTAGGTCTGTGAGCGATCTACTTGACATACTTAACAACTGCTAGCTTACCCTTACAAATGAGCAATTAGCAAAACTCGACTGCTGCTGTATTACATAGCCCTGGCTGCGTCTCGAGTCTGCTCTTCCAACGCCTTTTCCTCTGGTGTTCTCTTCTTGAGTGGCAAACGTGAAATGGCACTTCGGAGGTTTTCTGTTCAGCCGTTGTAGGTGTTTTAAAATATCCAAATCAATAACAACTCAGACAGGTGTGCACAGTGACGAAAAGTAGGAGGGGGGGGGGTCTATTTCTATTGGTCCACTCCAAATTATTTATGAATTATTTATTTGAGGTTACAGGCATCTGGTCATGTCCATTCCTATTTTAAAACTCATGATAACTTGACTACTTTCGGGGACATTCCCCGACAGTATTTTAAAAATTGCGTCTGGATAAAACATTGACTGCATCTTTAAGTACCCCAGCTTTAAACAAACTGATTTGCAGCTAAGTAAGTAATCTTTATTGATACTGTATAGTGCCTTTCTCAGAAAAAGAGTCACAAGGCACTTTACAATTGTTATTTTTGTCTCTCACTTGTCTCTCACTCCACACAGAGATGGGAGCTAGGTTGGCTGTGCAGGAGGCGCATACCAGACCTATTGCACATGTTTTTAGTGGTAACCGGAGCACCCGGGGGAAACCTACACAGACACGGGAAGAACATGCAAACTCCACACAGAAAGGCACTGTTCCGACCGAGATTTAGAACCCAGGACCTTCTTGCTGAGAAGCAAAAGTCCTATCCACTCAGCCACTGTGTCGTCCTGCTACTTTGACTTCAACTGAAAAGAGTATTAAGATTAAGAGGAAGAGATTCTTTATTCTTCCCACAGTGGAGACATTTCAGTGTTGTTGTTCAGTGCATCAGCAATTACAGAACAGTAGGAATGAATGGCAAATAAGTAAATAAAATAGAATAAAAATCTATAACTCTAGCATGAAGAGGAAACAAGTATATCATCTCTATCTTTAGCATTATGAGTACTGAGAAAACTGACTATTCTGAGTTTTCAAGTGTTTGTGCGGTTCACACGGAATACCTGCTAAACTTCCACAAACCTCCAAATGACAGTGTGAGCGCTGGGTCAGCTACATCCCTCCTTATTTATTTATCGCTTAAATCCTTGGAGGAAAGCGGCGTGTTTCCACTGCAGCTTACAGCTCTTCACTCTGAATAACATTAGCACCGCTCGCTGGACTGTCTCTTTTTTTTTCTTGAGCCCACAAGTAGCTTCCATCAACTGATTATTCATTTCAACTTACAAGTGGGAGTGTTCAGCAGGAGTTGTGCGGAAATATAAATAACCTGACACATTTCAAAGGCCCACGCTCGCCGGAATAAAAGAGCAGTCAAACAAAATGTGGCTTTTTTCTGTTTTTAAAGGAGACATATTCTGCAAAATTGACTTTCTCTCTTTATCATAAGGGCTAATCATGGTTCAGCATCCTTCCTCGTCAGTCAGACCCTAAAGCCTTAGACCTAAAGAGTTGTTAGATCCATCCCCTTTAACGTGTAACTCCACCCCTTCTGTAATAGTATGATGTCATTGTACTGCTTTGACATCATGAGCCGGTTTTTGCCCATGAATTAGTTTCGGCAATAACATAATATCACCTTAGTCTTTATTTTTTTAACAATCACATCACTCTGTTTGCCGGCATTAATTTTTTATTTTTTATAATAAATCAATTCCCCCCTCTAGTGGCAGCACAGGGAGTTACAGGCAGAAGGCATTTAAGATAAGAGATTGTTTATTTGTCCCACAGTGGGGAAATTTCAATGTTGCAGTGCACATACAGGACATATAGAGCAGGAGTTATATACTGTACATATAGAGCAGGAGTTATATACTGTACATATAGAGCAGGAGTTATATACTGTACATATAGAGCAGGAGTTATATACTGTACATATAGGGCAGGAGTTATATACTGTACATATAGAGCAGGAGTTATATACTGTACATATAGAGCAGGAGTTATATACTGTACATATAGGACAGGAGTTATATACTGTACATATAGAGCAGGAGTTATATACTGTACATATAGAGCAGGAGTTATATACTGTACATATAGAGCAGGAGTTATATACTGTACATATAGGGCAGGAGTTATATACTGTACATATAGGACAGGAGTTATATACTGTACATATAGAGCAGGAGTTATATACTGTACATATAGAGCAGGAGTTATATACTGTACATATAGGGCAGGAGTTATATACTGTACATATAGGACAGGATAATAAGTAGATAAAGTAAAGTGACATTGTTCAGTGGACATTCTGAAGTTGCAGTATTGCACATGATTATTGTATTTACTTATTTACAGATGAACGATATGTACAGGCTTAGCAGTTCTCATTGTACAGTCTGACAGCAGCAGGAAATAAAGACCTACGGAACCTCTCCTTCACACAGAGATTATTACAAACCCTTCACGCTTGTTTCACCATATATATTTTCTACTTGGAACATACTGTCTCGTTCTGAAACATTAAAAAACAAAGCCATTAGTCTCATTATAGTTTCTTAAAGGCCAAAAATGATGTTGTCTGTTTGTTGTAGGGACGCCTCCAGAGTGAAGCAGCTGGAGGAGCAGCTGACAGCGGCTCGTGGGCTCCTGGTGCAGCAGAAAGCCCAGGAGCAGGCCGTCCAGAAGGAGCACAGGAAGGCCGACACGCACAAGAAAATGACTGAGTTTTGAGCCACGGCTTCAAAAAACTCACTGCTCCAAGACATGAACTGATAAAGAGCCAGCGCTGCCAACTGTTACTGTCTGTTTTGTATCACAGATTTCAAGCTTCGGGTTAAATGACTCCAGAACCTTCCCGCTCTGGTTTTAGTTAATGATATCTGTGTTTGTTTGTTTTACCTCTTAAATGTTTTGAGACGATTTCCCATCTGCTCTCCTTTGCATATTTTATGATTTGCTCAAGATTGAACACATTGGAATCTACAGGGACATCTCAAAATATACGAAAGTCTGAATTAGATGGGAAATTGAGTCGGAAATGAATGACTTTTTGTTGCTTTTGCACAATTTTAAAAAAGCTTTTGAGATGTGCCTGTATACTCAGTGTTTCCCCTTACAGATTTAGAAGGTAGAAGAAAAGAAACTGAAATTATGGTCTGAAATGTTTTGACTCAGTAAATGCCTCTAAAATAGACATGTAATGGGAGATTCACAATGTAAATGTCTTTTCAATTAAACCTATTGACCAGAAAAATGCGCTCAAGCTGCATCCATTTCTCTTTTAACAAAAATGTAATCAACCAAACATACTGGCTCACAAAGAATCATTTTACTGGTACGGATTTTAAAGAAAAGTCTTTGTTTCTTTTTTTCCACTTTTTATGTTGATGTTTTACATACAGACAGACATACACATACTAACTTTCAAATACACAAGGATAAATAGAAGAAACAAAAAGTGCATATTTACAGATGTGAAGAGAACATAAGAAATGAGTTTAATGCTAGGAAAAAAAGAACAATGACAGAGGGGGAGGGGCCACACATGATTTAAATTATATTAAAATAAATACTAACGGTCGATAATAACAATGAGATCACACACACATACGTACATGCACGCAAACACCAAATACACGCTCACACCTGTGCAGACACCAAATACACGCTCACATCTGCGCAGACGCCAAATACACGCTCACATCTGTGCAGACACCAAATACACGCTCACACCTGTGCAGACGCCAAATACATGCTCACACCTGTGCAGACGCCAAATACACGCTCACACCTGTGCAGACGCCAAATACACGCTCACACCTGTGCAGACGCCAAATACACGCTCACACCTGTGCAGACGCCAAATACACGCTCACATCTGCGCAGACGCCAAATACACGCTCACACCTGTGCAGACGCCAAATACACGCTCGCATCTGCGCTGAGGCCAAATACACGCTCACACCTGCGCAGACGCCAAATACACGCTCACATCTGCGCAGACGCCAAATACACGCTCACATCTGCGCAGACGCCAAATACACGCTCACATCTGCGCAGACGCCAAATACACGCTCACAACTGTGCAGACGCCAAATACACGCTCACATCTGCGCAGACGCCAAATACACGCTCACATCTGCGCAGACGCCAAATACACGCTCACAACTGTGCAGACGCCAAATACACGCTCACATCTGCGCAGACGCCAAATACACGCTCACAACTGTGCAGACGCCAAATACACCTCACACCTGTGCACACACCAAATACACGCTCACACCTGTGCAGACGCCAAATACACGCTCACACCTGCGCAGACGCCAAATACACGCTCACACCTGTGCAGACGGCAAATACACGCTCACACCTGCGCAGACACCAAATACACGCTCACATCTGTGCAGACGCCAAATACACGCTCACAACTGTGCAGACGCCAAATACACGCTCACATCTGCGCAGACGCCAAATACACGCTCACAACTGTGCAGACGCCAAATACACCTCACACCTGTGCACACACCAAATACACGCTCACACCTGCGCAGACGCCAAATACACGCTTACATCTGCGCAGCGACGCCAAATACACGCTCACACCTGCGCAGACGCCAAATACACGCTCACATCTGCGCAGACGCCAAATACACGCTCACATCTGCACAGACGCCAAATACACGCTCACAACTGTGCAGACGCCAAATACACGCTCACATCTGCGCAGACGCCAAATACACGCTCACAACTGTGCAGACGCCAAATACACCTCACACCTGTGCACACACCAAATACACGCTCACACCTGCGCAGACGCCAAATACACGCTTACATCTGCGCAGACGCCAAATACACGCTCACACTTGCGCAGACGCCAAATACACGCTCACATCTGCGCAGACGCCAAATACACGCTCACATCTGCACAGACGCCAAATACACGCTCACAACTGTGCAGACGCCAAATACACGCTCACAACTGCGCAGACGCCAAATACACGCTCACACCTGTGCAGACGGCAAATACACGCTCACACCTGCGCAGACACCAAATACACGCTCACATCTGTGCAGACGCCAAATACACGCTCACACCTGCGCAGACGCCAAATACACGCTCACATCTGCGCAGACGCCAAATACACGCTCACATCTGCACAGACGCCAAATACACGCTCACAACTGTGCAGACGCCAAATACACCTCACGCCTGTGCACACACCAAATACACGCTCACACCTGTGCATACACCAAATACATGCTCACATCTGTGCAGACGCCAAATACACGCTCACACCTGCGCAGACGCCAAATACACGCTCACATCTGCGCAGACGCCAAATACACGCTCACATCTGCGCAGACGCCAAATACACGCTCACAACTGTGCAGACGCCAAATACACGCTCACATCTGCGCAGACGCCAAATACACGCTCACAACTGTGCAGACGCCAAATACACCTCACACCTGTGCACACACCAAATACACGCTCACACCTGTGCAGACGCCAAATACACGCTCACACCTGCGCAGACGCCAAATACACGCTCACACTTGTGCAGACGCCAAATACACCTCACACCTGTGCACACACCAAATACACGCTCACACCTGTGCAGACGCCAAATACACGCTCACACCTGTGCAGACACCAAGTACACGCTCACACCTGTGCAGACACCAAAGAACACAAAAATAAATGACTTTGTGTTTTTTGTATCATTTTCTTGTATCATATTTTGTAATGATCTACAAAAGCAGGCAGAAAATGGTGCCAAAGCCTGCACAAATCTGTTCATAAAATGTTATAAAATTAGACATTTTGCTGCTAGAGTTTATTCAGAAACGTGAAGGGAAACAAAAGGTGGAGCCCTGAAACTATATAAGAGAAGACTAATTCAAATCCATCACAGAACGACGCAGAAGGCATTTGCAATATCACGTTGTATAACAATAGAACCACTCTTGAGCTTTGAATATAATGAAGGTTCAAAATAAGATCAAATCTTGTTTTCTAACTCATCATCTGTACATCTACATACCGGTGAGTACCTATGAACAACTATTGGTAAGGGTGCTCTATGTATTTTTTACAGTTGAGTAACTTTCTTCACACTGACAGTAATGGAACGAGGCAGAATCTGCAACTGTCATTCAACTAAAGTATTCTCTCCTTAACAGTCCGGTGAATGACCATGGGGTTGTCCTCGAAGGCTTCCGTAGTGTTGATGGTAGAGTAGACCGCAATAAATGATCTCAACGCCGGATGGAAGCAACAACTATACAGTGTATCTTTAAAAATCATACTAATTTGAGCTTACAGCTGCTGTTTTTGTGGGTTGGGACATGTATGTATATGCGTCGTTTTGGTCATTATTTTAAAGAGGATTTAGATCAAAACCCTGGTGTTGTTCCAATGTGGTTTTACTGCAAATGGCAAAAAAAAACCTTGAATCTTGAAAGATTTACCTAAAAAACACAACCATTATCTAAGTCCTTTGATACATGCCCAAAAAACAATGCATAATGATTATTGAGATAAACCAGGAAGGCTTCTCCCCAAAAGCGTGGCGACTTCTTCTGAAAATCATTCCATGATTTATGCATACATTTTAAACTGGAATAGCTTCTGTAAATGTGTGTGGATTTTTAAAACTACTCTCAACCTCCACACTAATTGGATTCTGACAGTGCTTATTATGACGGGCCAAGCGGTGGTTAGGCAGAGGGAGTGTGGAGCTGTGTTAAAAGGGTTCATTGTGTGCACTCACAAGCATCACTGTCCCTGGCTCCTTTTTCTCCCATCCCATTTTTCACCAATTAAAGGTAGGCACTGAGCTAACGGCTTCTCTCTCTAGCCTTTATATTTGTAACAATGGTGGAGCAGGCGAACAGTTCCACGACCATATTAGGTCCACTGCAAATGATGGGTTGCTTTAGTTTTCCGTTTGAAGTGGTACTGTAGGTAACCAGGCACAAAACAATGGACCTCAACATTGCTTTGAAGTTATGAAAAACTTTGGAAACCCCAAACAGCTCAGTCTAGTAGAGTAGTATAGTACATTCAATAAAAATAATAGTAATAATAATAATGGCTAAAACATTCAGGTTTGTTTTATCCATCAGCTAGGCAATGCGCTCAAAATTACTTTAGGCAAGGCAAGTTTATTTTTATAGCACAATTCATACACAAGGCAATTCAAAGATAGACAAGATAGCATTACATTCATAAATAATAAAAGAAAGATAAAAATATAAAATCCCTCAGTTGTATGCACAGCTAAACAGAACTGTTTTTAACCTGGTTTTAAACATTACATAAACATACTTAAAATGTCCCCTAGTTTACTATTTCGTTTTTGGTATAGTTACTAATGCTTGTTCTTTTGTTGCATATGGGCTGCAGATATAACAAAGGTAGAAGTAGTTCCCATGGCAACCACAAAGCGAAAAAGGCCATTCAATAACAACTACAAAGAGACACTTGTTTGATGGATGTTTAAACGCTTCAAAAATTGCTTTCCTGAAATCAATCATATTTTTGGTAAAAAATATATATACTCCCACTGATGTCTGCTCTCGTTGTGTCTTTGGGCAAGACACTTAACCCCACTTTGCCTGAAGCCCCCGCTGAAAGATCAAGACTCCTGTGGCTGGTCCTATGAGAATTGGGTCCCCCAGACCCAGAAATGGTTCAATGGGAGGAAAATGGATGGATGGACTTTACA